ACCAACGCGCCTTTTATATTGTACCTTCTTCAACACGCCGCAATAAAGTTTAACAAGTGAAACTACAAGGTATTTTGTGTTCTTTATTGTTTATTGTAGCTATATTGTGACCGGACATAAAAGCTGGTCAGGGCTCTCCTCTATAACTATATCTCCACGGCAGTTTTTGCCAGACGGACACCAGATTTTCTGTTGAGGTTACCTTACCCGATAAGTGCAATGTTATTATTGTACTTGATTCATTACTGTCAGGAACAGGAGCTACACTGTAGTCAGTCCAACATAAGCTGGTAGGCTGGGCTAGTTTTTAAGTCCCCTGTAAGTATATTGCTGATTGACAAGCCCCTCATTATCCCAAGAGTTTTACCTCTTTTCATTGAGCTTCCCACCCCGAAACTAAATTGCATTGTTGTTGTGAAATTGGGAACTAAACCAATATATTTTATACGTTCTTCAACAACTCCTCCATCTGAGTTTAAGGGATTCTCCCAAAGCTCAGTTCATTACCTCGCTGCAGGTTTTGTAGTATATTGTAACTGTGAAATACATGAAACCATAATTACTTTATAAATTCTGCAGATTAGTGTAAAATGCCCAGTTGTTACTCCCTTGTTCCCCGTAGCCTAGTTTCCGAAATTTAAGTACCAGTAGGAACCAGTAAGTATTTTATTGGTGCCTGATTAATAGTTAAATTACAACTGCTGCATAGCAGAGTGTTACGGCTGTAAATAAAAGTTGAAACAAGTAGGTAGAAGCAGTTCGAAGCCTGAGTTTGACATGTTATACACAGTGCAGTCCTACATAGCTCTAAGTCACATCCTAGAAAGCTCAGTGTACAAAATTAATCATAAGAATATTTAATTATAGAAAAAAAAAGAACGTTAAAGCCTAATCTGAAACAACTTTAACAGCAATTGTTGACTGTCCCAGGCTTATATCTCAATACCAGCATCAAAGTCAATGTATTTCTCAGGCCCATGGTAATGTCACTGATCTGAAGCAGGGATTACTGTGCCCCCTCTTGGTTATAAATCAGCATTGCATTGTCATTCAAAGCTTCATTACAAGCTCTCTGTGAGATTAGAGCCAATGGTGCGATCACTTGTGTGTTGGGTTAGACTTTGGCAGCAGCGTCAAAAGTCAAAGATATACTCTAGGTGTTGGTGGATCAGAAGAAGAAAAATTCATTGTTTTTGCATTAAAGTGCTCATTTGTTCGATTGTATAGAATCAGAGGGGCAGGGGGTGTCTGTTCTGATCAGAGGAACAGCCGCCGGTGACAAATTAACTGCAGTGATTGTGTCAGTTTGTCACTGCATTGAACCTGAGACGCCGACCATTCATCACCGAGAAGAGGTGCATCCCCCCCCCCTCAGGATTCAGTGATAAGGACTGAATGAAGAAAAATGACAGAGAGATAGGCCTCATCCACTTTCTATCACAGAGCAACAGGGGCCGGCTACTGTATGTTCAAACGCTGCTCCTACTTTTGTTCCTAGTTGCTTATTTTATAAGGCGCTGCCGAGCATCATGAATCAAACCGGCTTGACTTTGTGGTGTGTTGTCAAAAATGTTTCACTGTGTCCTTTAACGTACAAGCAGCAGCGGATCGTTGATTTAAAGGGCTTCGGTTGCAGCACAGAGTCTAGAAACTTGATTGATTTTAACACCATGCGGCTCAGTTTTGGACATCTATTTTTTCCTGTTGTTTGTATTTATAGCACATCTTTAACGTCCTTCTTCCCTCAACCGGGGGAGAGAGAGAGGGAGAAAAAAAAGCCCTGCCTGTTTGGAGTTTACAGGATCAAAGAAGAGGTAAATATCATTTCCATAACATTTGAACCAGTTAACCACCAGCACAATGCAGATAAACACTACTGTAAGCGCCTGACAATGCCAATGAGGCAGGAACTCTGTGATTTGCCGCTCCGCCAAAGAGGAGGGAAGCGAGCGCAAACATGGAGGAGGTGAGAGGTCAACTGTGCTCTCCCTGCATCCCTTTCCAAGCAGCCCCTCAAGCACTGGTGATGTTTTAGGCAACCGTGCCTCACTTTGGGGGGAGGCCTGATGGATGCCATTCCCAAGGTGAATGGAAAGAATAGCATTAAGCTGCACCACACTGCCTGGGGAGATCTACACTGCTTTGGGTGATTCATCTATTGATTATTTCTACCCAAGCATGGAGGTGCCATGTAAACACACATATATTAGTAGTCTACAATGCACATGTGTTGCCCCTAACACACATGCAGACACAGTGGATCCAGTGAAGCACGCCTCAGGCCTACTCACTGTTTTATAATCAGATTCCAACTTCTACCAGCTCATGGGCATCTTCAAACCACAAGGCAGATGCATCTGATGGATAACTAAATAGAGATGAATGAAGAGATGAAGGAATAAATAAATGATAAATGCACATTACCGCTATTTGTGTGGGCCAGCTATTGTGTTATTGATCTGAGCTGGTGTTTTTTTGCGTGTGTGTGTGTACTTGTAGTAGGCTACAGTACGTGGGCCAAGTTAAATTGTTATGCTTATTCTGTGCTTTGTGTGTAGGATTTGAATCATTATCAATGGAGCACTATAGGTGTCCATGTCTTATCTAATTCAATTGATTTGTGTGTGCCGCACAGCTCGTCCAGAAATGTTTTTTGGGCTTTGTGAACTTGCGGGGCACCGTGATCTAATCCTAACTTCTCCACAGGCTGCTTGATGTAACAAGAAAAGCCTAAAAAGTTAGCTATCCTAACCCCAGGCTAACTAAGGGTCACGTTTCCATGGTAACAGCTGCAGACCAGTGGCACCAAATGACAAAACAGAGTAAAACGCAACTCATAAGTTGTGGTTTTCTAATTATATCGTTGAGAAAACCATGAGAAGGCAAAGAAAACGCAGTTGTACATATACAACAGTGAGGACATCATCCGTCATTTTCATTTTTTTTTTTTTTTTTTTTTTGCTAAAATTTTCCAGTAAAATGTCCTAAATAAATCTTTCAGAAGGTTAAACATTTTGTGCTGGAATGAACAGAGCTGAGAGGTTTAACACGGCTGCCAGAATCCATGTCAGATTAGTCCTACTTAAGATAGTCAAGAAGTAGACAACTGCACCATGGATGAATTTATTTTCCTATCTGAAGTCTGATTATTAATTTGATCTCAGCCGCAGTCAAAGTCTCTCTTTGTCTTGAACTAATCCTGGTTTCTTTATTGTCTACCTGACTACCTTTTACTAGCCACTAGATCTGGAGTAGTGATCTATTGACCTGCACTGGCAAACTGTTTGGAACAAGCTGAAACTCATTTAACTCTACAACCACATTGGTACTTTATACATACACACTGGCAGTGTTGGTTTTGTAGACAGGTATCTTCCACTCTATGCAATTTACTTAATACAGAAATACTTAGTTGTCCCAATTAAATGCAATTGATTAATGATCCTTCCTTGGGATTATCAACCCAATAACAAGGTATCTCATTAGCTGGGGGAAAAAACTGTGATGGAAACCTCCCACAGTCTCTCTCTATACTTTGTATATGTATATGGGACAACATAGTATATCATACATAGGATGTTTACTTTGCAGTTGATTTTAAATATAGAACAATATTTGTACTGTCTTCAAGAATTATCATTTATTATTGATGTTTATTACGTAATTTCTATTTCCTTTGTAATCTCTTTATATGTTTATATAGATGATGTTGACATGGCAGGAATGTGGTTGGTAAAATGAGCTGTGGTTACACAAAACACTCATGTTCATAAATTACTTATATTGTCTTCCTGCCTGTGCACACACACATACACATATATATATATTTAAAGAGTAAATTTGATCCTCAAAAAAAATAAAGTTTCTTTGTCTGACTCTCAAAAGTCCTGTTGTTCTACATAATTATGTGACCCACGATGTAAGCTGGAAAAGAATACAGGTAGTTGCGGGCCAAACAACCCATGTTTTTTTCAGGTGTGTCTGCTTTAACAGGAGTGATCCACTGAGTGATCTTGCATTCACACCACGGCCTCCTCATTAATTTGTCTGAACCAGGATGTGCTCGTGGGACTGAAGTGTCCTCCAGGATTTCGAATACCCCGTTTGTTCACGTCTCTCTCCACCTCGTCTCCTGAGACAATAATCAACAAAAATCTCTTTGTTTGCGCACGTCTGGTTTTTGTTCAAAAGGTTCATCTGTGCTGATAGCATCTTATGTCACATGCTGGATCATAAATGTACATGACAGAGTAGCATTTCATGTTATACTGCATTATGAATCCAGCTTTCTTTTGTCTGCATAATCATGAACATTGCTGCTCAGGTTGAAATTCAACCTTTCACTGCTAAAAAAGGAGAATGCCAGAGTTGTCACTTACATTGGATATCATTGCTTTGGGCAGAAAAAGAGCTCCTCTCCAGTGTGTGTGTGTGTGTGTGTGTTTCTTTTTCCACAGACTTTTTTTTTTCTTCTTTAAACGTTAGACGTGGCTCTCTCCCTTAGGGGCGGTAATGGCATTCTCCATGACAACGGCAGTGTGACACGGCTGTGCCCTTGAGGGCCGGGCGCCCCCTCTGGGGGGAGCGCCGCAGAAACACGACAGGGTCAACGGTCACCTCCCATCATCCACCAGCAACTCGTCCTCCTCTCTCTCTCTCTCTCTCTCTCTCTCTCTCTCTCTCTCCCTCCCTCTCCTCAGGTGGAGCAACGAATGTTAGGGAGAGAAAGAAAGTCTTGAAGCGAGCCCACTCAGTCCAGGCCTGGCAAACGTGGAGCTTTAGCCACAGGCGGTTCTGGCTAGGTCTCTACCTCGCATAGCTTCTTGCTGTTCCTCCAAGGCCAGGGCTGGATCAATACGTATAGTAGTGCGGATTCTTTTGGCACCCAACTATAGCTATGCAGTATTGCCCTGAGGTATGGGTCCGTTAAAGACATAACAGTGTGTGCATGTGAGCAAAGTGGACTGAGTTTATTCAGGAAGGTGTTGAGATGCTTGGCATAAAACCGATGCTTCCAACAAGGAATTTTTTATTTTATTTTGTTGCTGGAAATGTAGGAAATTCTTAGTCTCTATTAAATATTGCATGGAGTTTTTTTTATTTTGGGGAAGTCCTTGAAATGAATATGGATTCTTGGAAAAAGAGCCTTCAAAAAAAATACTAATACATTTAAGGATAATTGAATATTAGTTAATTAATGGCTGCTGAGTACTTATAAAAAAGATTTACTGTTATTTCTTTTTAAATTCAATTCAAAAGTCACGTGTGATACATCCACCAGAACTCATATGATGAAAAAGACCTCACAAATGGATATCTTGTCAGATCTTCATTTTAGAAACGATGCTCTTCTGCCACCTGGTGACTAAAAAGCAAATCAGTCTCAAACTGAGTTCATCAGTTTTACTGCGTTCTCCATGTCTTAAAGCATACAAATGTACAACCTGAGGGAGAAAATAAATTCAAGCACAAACACAGAATTATTGTGAATACTAATAATGAATCATTGGGTTTTGTTTTACACAAACAAACAAACAAACAAAAAAAGCCAGCAACATCAGCGTCATTTCCGCCTTGGCACATCTTCAATGAAAATTTAAAAAGGAAGTAAAGAAAAAAACAGGACGTTGTCAGTTCAACAACTCACATCCTGTACATTTGGCTTACTTGACAACAGAAAATGTTTATGTTCAACCTGTGAACTGTGTCTTTTCACAAAAAATAAAAAAAGGATCCAGAAACAAAGTCAGTTGCTTCTTGCTGTAAAACTGATGCAGTTCGTCTACGTAGAAATTATTCAGCTGTTTAAGTTATTCGGAGGTCACAGGCAGAGTCTGGTGTCCCCGGTGAGCTCTGAATCCTCTCCCTAAACAAGGACTTCCATTCAAAGATGTTTGAGGAAGCCGGTCAGGCACCTGCAGCAGAGAAGAGATTAAAAATAGAGAAATATTTACATCACATATTTCCTCCTATAGGCAGGAATTAAAAGACCCTTCACTCTCACTCTCTCATGTCTGACTGTCATGGATCAAATGTCCAGAAATATACTTGTCATCATGCATTCAGTGTCTCCATGTCAGTTTGGTTCCATGACAAGAAAGCCTAAAAATACTGTTATTTCTTCTGTGTAGTATTCAATATTTATGTTATCATTATTATTATTATTATTATTATTATTATTATGATGATGAGATATTTGGCATTTCTCCACCCATTTAAAATGGCTGTATAATGCTTAAAGGTCCAGTGTGTAGGATTTAGTGGCATCTAGTAGAATAGTTTAATTAGTAATTATAATAGTAATTATCTCCCTCCCTTCATCTTCCCCTACTAACGGAAAAACTACAAAGTATGCAAAAACATTTGTCTGTTCTGGGCTACTGTAGAAACATGGTGGTTTCAATATGGCAGGCTCCAACAGAAGGCAACATGCGATGTCTGTAGATAAAAATTACTCATTCTAAGGTAACAAAAAACATGATAATTCTTATTTTCTGGTGATTATACACTAATGAAAACATGGCAATGAATATAATATCCCATTCCTAAACAAATGAATTCATAATTAAACTAATTTTCAGACAATCACATTCTCTTGGGAGGCTTTTTTGGAGACTGCTGTGTATTTGTATCACATCAAACCTCTGAGCTGTAGAGCAATATGATTAAATATAACTGGTCAGAAGTACTCACCGAACTGGTATATGGTCCTGGGTGGTGAGGGGAGTGTACTTTGTGGACCACTGGGGGCCTGAGGGCCTAAACTTTTGCCACGACTCTGGGGGCGGGATCTCTGCACGGCCAACGCTACTGCCTGTGCAAATCTGGATGGGGCTGAACTTATCTTGTCCAGAGGTTTGGGTGCAGCTGCAGGGGTGGCTGACGTTAACTCACTGAATGCATTAGTCTGCCCATTGGAAGAAAGACTTAGTGGCTGAGAGGAGGGAAGAGAGGAAGCTGTAGTATCTTCCCTCCCTTCCTCCATGACTTCTATTTCTTCATTAAAGAAGACAGGTGGAGGAGGAGGAGGGAAACTGTCTTCTTCTTCCTTAACTTTCCTCTCATCAGTGTTTGAACCACAATGGTCGATGTCTGTACTGACAAACTGTCGACTGGGGCTTTGAAGTAATTCACTCTGATCCTCAGAGATGATGATTTGACCATCACTGGCAAGTTCTCCATCACTGCAGTCTGACGGTGTGGCTTGTACCACCTCAGATGTGACTTCAGGTTCATCCTCTTCCTCCTGCTGCTTTTCAACAGTTCCCCCAACCTCCGACAGAGGCGAGCCTGGGCAATCCTGATCGTCTACATCAAGTGGAGGTGGAAGAGAAGCTGGCTCTTCAGAAGCCTGAATTTCCTGAGAAGAGGGTTCTGGACTCTTCAAATATGCAACTTCAGGCTCAACTTCTTCCTCCTGTTTTTCACCAATGTCCCCAACCTGACAGAGAGGCGAGCCTGGACATTCCTGATAGTCTTCATCAAGTGGAGGTGGAAGAAAAGCTGGCTCTTCAGAAGCCTGAGTCTCCTGAGAAGAAGGTTCTGGACTCTGCAAATATGGGACTTCAGGCTCATCCTCTTCCTCCTGCTTTGCAACGGTGTCCCGAACCTCACAGAGAGGCGAGACTGGACAATCCTGATTGTCTTCATCAAGTGGAGGTGGAAGAGAAGCTGGCTCTTCAGTCTCTTGAGAAGGTTCTGGACTCTGCAAAGGTGTTTCAGTCTCTGATCTGGCAGGAGAACATGGATCCTCCTCAGGCTCAGTTTGGTTTTTCCCGACCTCAGAAGAAGCTTCACTCTCAGGGTTTTCTTCTATTGTTATCTGATCTGGAACATCCACGGTGAGCTCTGAATCATGGGACTTCTGTTTCTTTGAGGGAACCACTTTGAACGTGGTCATTCCCCTTCTCTGTGCGGGATCCTCCCACTCGGGCTCAGTGGGTAGGTTGGAAGTCAAAACAGGTTCAGGTTCTGCATAGAAATCCCCATTTTCTGAAAACCTCTGAGTCATGGACATGAAGGAGGAGCCATTGTATAATTTTGGGAAGGTGGCAGAATTCCTCAAACGCCTGACCAGCGTTCCTTTGGAAATGGAGGAAGTCATGACTTTGGCAAGAGCACAGCGGGCGTCTGTTAAGTCTTTCCCTCGAAACGAAGGCAGATATGGATCAGCCACTTCATGGAGATGGGCGAAAGATGGACGTGAGGAGGATTTGGATGACCATGAATGTGATGGATATGTTGATGAAGATGATGATAGTGATTTTACAGAGTCTGACTCCTCACTTTCTCTCTTCTCCACAGTAATCAGGGAGTCTACAGTCGCTGGGGAAACAGGGAAGACTTAGTAACAAGGAACCCAACTCGAAGAAATGTCACTTTAAAGAAATTGCTATATTTCTAATGGAGGTTCTGCACAGAAACACAAAATGTGTGTTTGTCATTAAAAAAAAGACAGAATAAACATAGATAGACAAACATAGATTACATAACCAGTGACTTTTTACCTTAATAACCTTTAGTCAAAATAAAACACACTTTTAAATGAAATCAAGTGTTAAAGTGAAATGAATTATTCACAATTTTATTGTAATAGGAGAAATCCTGATAATATGAAATAATGAAAAAACCCTGCATATCAAAAGTGTAAAATGTGAATGAAAAAGCACAATGTGTAAATGAATCAGCAGAAGAAAGAATCAAGATCAAAGAATCATAAACATAAATATAATAAAAACATTAATATACAATAGGTAGAAGAACTATATAGTAGAGAACGAAATTAGCATTTAACATAAAAACTTGATTTGGAAAGAAAACAACATTCACTTATAGAGTTGATTAATTTACTAAATACTGCTGTTCATCTGACTTCTGTTTTGAATTAAAGGCACAACAATTAGTTTAAATCTAATCCATTAAAAAGGAAAAACACACAAAAAAGCACAAAAACTTGAGACAAAACAAAAGAAAGTTACAGAATTTTTCACAAAAGAAAAGCCCCCCCAAAAAAAGCATAAAAACGAACAAATAAATATTCAAGTGCAGCAGGCAACAGTGACACGCATCCATAAAAGCCACTAAGACGGGAAGGAGGAAGAAGAGGCCAACGCAGGAGGAGGACGGAGAAGAGGAATAGGGATGGTGGAAGGAGGAGAGGAAAAGGAGACAGCAGCAGCAGCAGCCCTCAATCACCCCCTTCAGGTAACACAGAGTCTGTAAGCAGGGAGGAGAAAAAGCTTGGCTTTAGGGCAGCGATCTTCAGCGTAAAAGGTTTCCAAAACAAAACAAACACAACTCCAAGACACTTTACGGTGAAGTCTCAATACTGACGCAAAAGCCAGCTGAGTCAGTATGATGAAAGAAATAGGCTAAAATGCGATACTGTAAGTGTAGGAGGACGGGATCAAGAATGTGATCATCAACTCTGGGCTGGGAGTTGTTTTTCCAGCCGGGGTCTGATACCAGCTCAGCAGAGTGTTGCACTGTCATGGCTAAAAGAAAACAAGGGAGTGAACCGAAGACACTGTCGCTAGCTGAAGGCAATTTATACAGATAATTAAAAACACTAAAAAGTTTACAGCACTTTTTTCCTCTTCTACCATGTGTGCAATGAAGTGTTCACATAATTACCGATCCCTCTTAACCTTTGTCTAATAACAGAATGTTCATTCAAGTCTGTGAAAGAAAGATCAGTAAAAAAAGGAGCCATGCGCCAAGAGAACCTGGAGTCAGGTGGTGAAAGCGTGTCAGACAGGCTGATACAGGGCAATGAAAGCTTGGACAATAGAGGGATTTATCTCGGAGCAGACTGAAGCCAATATGTTCTATGAACAAGGCTCTCTGGGTCACTTTAATTGCCCCTGAACGGGGTTAAATTGTTCTGACTGATAAAAGCTGCGTTTTGTGCCAGATTTAACTGCTAAATCTTCTATTTGATGGTATTCGCTTTGACATTTTAATCTTGATTTAACTTCAATCTCTCTTGACCTCCCGTGGCACTCACTGAAGCTGTAAGGATTTGGCGGACACAAGAATTCACCCGACTCTAAACCCATTTGATTTCCACTGAAATACTGTAAAAGGTCAATTGGGATTATTGTACCAGCATACTTCATATCTTCCTGCTGTTCCAATGAGGCTGCCTCAACGATCACCACTAGATGGCAAAAGAGACAGAAAGCTTAACAGTGGCATCAGGCTGCATTTGGACAGTGTAATATTAGCTCTGCACTGACTATTACGTAACGGCGCTGACTCTAATTTATACCTTTAAATAGCAACAATTAACAGCTATTTTATTCCAAGAAGCGTTGGCAAGCCAAGATCTCAATCCTGCGGCACTTCTTTTAGAACGTAATCCATCACAGAGCTCAGAAGGTCATCAATCGTCAATGAAGATTTTACCTTTAACCTCTGTGTCCTCCTGCAGCTCCTGGTTTGCACAGGGTGGGGGTGGGGCCCTCCGCTTGGTACTCCTCAAAGTAGATTCAGCAGACCTCTACAGAAAGACAACAACATTATTATGCTAATGTATATCATTGTTTGGGTTATTTATTCCAAAAATTAACTCCGGGCTAATCTTCCTCCCTACCGCCAACCCACCTGTGGTCCTCTTAAATGACAGGTGCTGAGGTTGTTGGGGACGCTCTGTGACGCACCCATGGGCGGCTGGGGGGCTCGTCTCTTCTTGGGCACGTCTGCTGCCAGGTTGTTAGAAGAGGAAACATCCTGCCCATTCATACGGCCTCCCACTTGTTTGTAGAGACCGGGAGAATCTGGAGGACTCACGGCCCCTTCCTACAAAAGAGGGAAATGTACAGAGAAGCTTTAAGAAAATCTACATTCAAGTAGTGCCAGCAGTACAGGAGTTCACTTTACGTCTCCCAAAAGCTGACGTTACCATTTCAGGGTGTTTCTTCCGTCTTCTGAATAAGCTGAGAAATCCCAGGTTCTCCTTCTGTTTCTTCTCCTTCTTTGGCAGGTCTATATTATGTAAAAGACGTAGATCAGTAAATGATACGTAGCAGAATACAGTGCGTAGCAGATAACACTGAGGCTGTGCATGAATGTGTTACCTTGTGGTGGAGGTGGTGAGATGACCTCTGTTTGTGTGACAGCTGTTCCACACAGAAAACAATGCCATTATCAGGTCAGACTGCACAGTATCAACACACCGAGTATGGGATAAAGGCATTCTTCTAGATAAGAACCATTGGCCGCAGGGTTTTGTGAAAGCACCAAAACTACAAAATTAATTTTAAAATGGAAACGCCACGTTTTTTGGTGCCCAATAGACCTTTTTGACATGAAATAGTGGCGTAACCACACCAAATATACGCTGATTTAATTGTAAACAATCACATGTATCAATATTTATTGAACTAAAGTCTAAAATGTGGCCATAACAGATAAGTAAATTATATGTGTTAAAAGGTCCAGTGTGTAGCATTTATCTAGAGACCTTCTAGTGAGCCAAACATGCACAACTATAGCCCCCTGACTCCGTTTGACCTGAATGGAGTGTAACTTTAATTGGTATCATTGTTTACCCTGCTATTTCATGTCTAAATGGCTGCTATGAAAAAGGTCTATTTGGGTCCACAAAGTGATCCCAGCGGTCTCTTTTAAGTAATAATCCTGTCTTAATACCCAAAGTGCATTTGAAACTAAATGTGTCGTATATTTTTAGCTCAACACATGCAAATATACAAGCACTGCACTCAAGCTGTGAATTTTGTTACGCTGCATGTGTGAGGTTTTCTTCATTTGATTGTGATTTGCCTATTTGCATTGTGTGTGTCAGTGTGTTCTCCACCGTACCTGCATCAGGTGTCTTGGCCTGGTGTTGACGGTCAGCTGTGTCTTTTGCAAACACTTCCCTCAGTTCGAGGTCATTTAAGGACTTGGTCAGGTCCAGTGGCTCTTGGGACTGAGAGTCTCTCATCAAGATGGTTGTTTCTGCTTTAAACTCGCACTTGTCACAAACCACCGGCAGCAGCATCTCAAGGGGCACTCTGGGATTCACTCGCACCACGGCCTTGTGGGACTTATTGTAGTTGATCAACAGACGTACAGACGCCTGCAAAGAGAAATTACCTTTTCTACTTATTTCATGCAACGATGGAATTAATATTTTTTGACTTTTTTCTCTGTTTTTTTTTACCTCAGGCATGTACGGCCTCCTGATCTTTTCCTCAATCCCTTTAGGCTTCAGCACAATCTTCTCCGCTTCTAGTGAGCCAATCGGAGAGTTCGGTTTGAAGCTGATGATGTTCTTGTTGGGCGAGAGAACTTCAACGGTGTAGTCTGACGGATTCAGGCGGTAGCTCGCACAAAGGGTCACCAGCAAATCCATCACGGGTTTACTATTCAGAAAAGAAAACAAATCACCATAATTAACATGTATCTTGCTGTTCTCAAAGTATAGTATGCAGGTGCAAGTTCTTGATATCCTGATTTTACCCCCTTAGTATGGCTCAAACATTGGGCTAAGACATGTCCATGGCATCAAAACTCTCCTTAGATAAAACAGCCTGTAACACAGCCTACCTTCCATGCACTGTGGCGTTCCTCTCCAGCCCCCCCGGCAGCACCACAGACAGAGTGTGGTCTCTCTCCAACGGATTCACCTCCTCATCCATCTCAAGGGACCTTCAGTGGAACTCAAAAGCCTCTCCAGATCTGATGCCGTCCCCAGTGTCAGGTAAACCTCCTGAGAGGCAAGAAATATTTCAGTAATTAAACTCAGGGTTACCGTACAGTCGGTGACAGGGTTTCCCTCCAGCCTCGCTGTGAAATGTCTTATGGTTACTCGAAAACATTTCAAGAATGGGGTTTGAAGGCCTGACTCTAATAGGTCAGTATAAAAGGACTCCTAATAATAGACTAATAGGACTCCATAGGTACACTGCACCTAAAACAGCTATGACTCACTTTAAGGCTACTCTAATTATATAAAATGTCAGAAAATAGTGCAAAATAATGCAGAATTTGAGATAAAGTTGACATCTGAACTGTATAAAAACTAAATAAATTCAGTGTACTACCAAAGAAGACAAACATAACCAGCAAATATTTAAATTTGAGAATATGATTAAGCAGAAATTGCTGTTTTCTTTCTTTAAAAATGACTTACATGATTACATTACAGTCAAATTATGTTTTCGGTGCATTGACTAAAGAGTAAAGCAGCTCTGATTCACTGTACAGTAAATCAAACTATTACTCAACACTGATGCTCTGCTGAACAGACTCATCTTTATTCAGAGATAGAACAGTAAAACTGAGTGCAACATCGCTGTTTTTGGTAGAAATAAATCCGTAAATGTATCTTCTATATTGCAGGTTACTTCATTAAATTCATTAGGCAAATAAATATTGTGTCAAATGTCAACGGTTACCTGAAAAAAATAAACCTCTACCTCAAGCGTGAAACATGACAGTCCAGATCCAACGACCGCGCTGCTTCCACATGAAAACTACGACAAATGACCCAAATTGTCGTTAAAGCTCTCACTTACAACCACACATGTTAACTTTAGCAACTTTTGCTGTGTTTCCCCTGTAAAAAACCGACGAGCGACTCCCAACGACTCGCCTCCTTTTCCCAGGAATTTAAACACCCTCCGTCTTCACCTGTGACCCTTTGTGGTTCCTCGCCCGCACACAGGAACAGCCCCTTTAAACAGTTTGATTAAAGTCACCGCCCTGCCTCGGTGTATTCTCAGCCAGGAGTTCACTGGAGCGTGCCAACCAAACAGCTGCGCGTGTCTCTTCGTCAACACACTGACGCGCGCGCGTTTCAACAGGTGACCGAGTACGCATTAAATAAAGTATAAATGTAATAATTGTTGATTTACATATGTTTAAATATGGTTCATAGTATCAGCCCTGTATTGAGTGCACAAAACTGAATTAATCCATTATTTATTAAGCTGTTAATTGACTTATTATGCTTGTTTATATGTTTATACTGAAACATTACACATTATTTACATTCATGTGTTGGCTCCTAACCTTATTTTTTGCTAGTTCTGCTAAACATTAGTGTTAAAGTAAGCTAAATAAAAAAATAATTCCTTCCAAAAGTACATTATATAAACAGCAGGATCATTAGACAAATAATCTTCAGTGTTATTTTACTAAGAAACTAAGCCTAATCTATTACATTAATCTACTGTATTGGTGTTATTGGAGTAATATTGTTACATTAATACTACAATGACACCATAAAAAGTCTTTATCTTTAAACAATGTATCTTAGTAACTCACACAATGCATTCAGCCCCTGTCTGTCTTCAGCCATGTTGTAGAAGCAGTAATGCTGAGTTCCAAATAAGCTTACACTGTTTCTCAAGTAAGAGGGATTAGTGCCTTCAAAAGGCTGCGTCTCTCCATGCAGCCACACACAGGAACATTTAATTGATTTTATATATACATCCATAGCATTTTACACCTACCTGTATGCACAGATTCCTCCCATTCTCTGTCAGCTTTCTCTTCTGTATTACTGAGTGGTAGGAGGAGAGAGGCTGAGCAAGAAAGACGCTTCCTTCCCCTTGTAATCCCTGTTTAGCAGACTAACCTACCACACCTACAGGCCCTGCCCAGTCATGTGACAGCACTTTGCATGTCTGTATACTGTGTGTACTGTGTGTACTGTGTGTGTATGCTGTATGGGAGGTAGTGGAGGGGGGGGGTATCTGCACGGGCATGCATGAGTTGTAACTTGGTGAACCAGTCTGCAATGTGAAAGCTTAATGTTAAAAGAGTATACCATTCAATTTGTATAAAGGCCTTTAATCCACATAAGCTACTGATCCTCTATATAGGATCCGGCAAAAGTACTGCTGATCAGCTAGTCCATCATACTGTATAGCATGCACACACACTGTACTTAATCCCCTTGTCTAATAAAAAAAAAGATTCTCTGTGGTTGGTGGACAATAAGTAGATAATGGTGTTTACATTAATAAATCGTTAAACTGGCATTTCAGTACAACTAAAGCAGTGAATTAGCAATGCAAGGAGATGTTTATCAGTGAGGCAGACAGTAGTCCAGAAGTAATCTCTTCCACCTGCTCATCTCCATCACTGTGTGTCTCTTCTCCTCCTCCTCTGTGTATAACCCAGCTTGAGTGAAAACAAGTTCATGTCAGTCCTCTCTGGGCTGTTAAGGTCTTCTGGGTAACATAATAAACCACTAACTGAGTAAGTAGTTGAGACAAGTTGAATGAGGTGTACAAACCAAAAATAACTCCTGGAAGTGTGAAAGCTCTGGTTCCCAAACTATATATGCACCAATATGAATCAAAGGAGTCAGACTTTGCTTTTTGTTCTCGTGAACTACTGAATATTTTTTAGTTATCAGGCCCCAAAATGTCTGAGAAGTGTAGATGATGTATTGGTGGCAACCTGCAGACATATACAACCTGTGACAAGGGGTCACAGCTTTGAATTAAAGGGTCACAAGTTGGGGACCACTGCATGACGTGCATGTGACAAAGCAATGTGAGTTATTTGGAGCAGATATAACACATAAAGAAAACATTAAACACTAAATACTCACTGCTTGTTGAACAATTCAGTTTTATGTGTTCTGGGTGTTTTTGAGCCACACTAGCGGCGCATTTATCATCCTGTTAGCATTTTAATTGGTCCAATTATGACCAAATGCCTGAAAAGGACATCTGCCATCAGCCTCAGCTGTATTTAATGTTTAGTGCTAATTAGCATCCTTACAGGCTAAGGTAAGAGGGTGAAAATATTTTTCCTGCTAAACATCAGCACATCAGCATTGCATCAGCACTGTGAGTATGTTAGCATGCAGATATTAGCATTTAAAGCCTCACAGAGCCACTAGCTCTTTGTCTTGTTAGATTATTCAGTTACATAATAATAATAATTCCTTTTATTTGTATAGCACCTTTCGAAGCCAAGTTACAAGTGCTTCACAACAGCAATCTAATACAGAATCCAATTCAATACAATACAATGACAGTAAAAATAAAACCATTAAAAATAACGATGAAACATGTATGACATTAGAATAATAAAACATTACAGTAGATTATGAGACAGACACAGCAAGGAATCCATTAAGGCACATTTAAAGAGGTGTGTTTTTAAAAGAGGATATAGATTCCAGATCAATGGTGCCCTGGTAGCGACGGCCCGGTCGGCCCTGGTTTTCAATATAGATCCAGGAATCTCTAAAAGGGACCCAGCGGAGGGTCTCAGGCTGCACTTAGGCTCACATTGAATGAGACAGTCATTGATATACTCAAAGACCAGTTCCATCTGGGCCTTAATGATCATTAAAATCAATTGTGAAACACATTGGTAGCCAGAGTAATGAAGCTAAAATGGATGTTATTTGTACTCTTTTGTTATAATTAGTGAAAGTTTTGGCATACAGAGTAAAGGTGTACATATACTTCAGGAATCTACTTTACAGTAATTACTTGTAGCCTACTGCAGGTACAGCGGAGTAATTATAGAACAGTTATTTACTCGTGGCTTTGATTCAGGGAAGGATTTCCTGGCTTTTATATTCCTAGATAAAATGTGATTAGTCAAGCCTTCCTTACAGAGATAATGTTAAGTAACATTATAAGGAATAGTAATGAATTTCAAAAACTCAAATTAACATGAGCCATGAGACAGACCGCCGTAGTATCACACAAAGCCCTTCGATTCATCTGCATACAGTGTGTGAGCGGTAGCATGCAGTTAGGTGGGAGTTTTAATCAAATTAGGCGCAGGGAACACATGTCCACGTTGACTGTAATCTTGTAATCTCATTGTGCAGTCTGTGGAGTCTCAATGGGCCTTCTACAGTAGCTGGCTGCAGTAAACAGATCACTGTGCGACTGTCTCGCTTAATGAACTTCTTCTGATGACTAACCGACAAACAGAAAGCCTGTTAGTCACACCATCCAAGTCTCTCTTCCTGTATCATCACTTACCATGTTGTGAAATGGAAGAACTGTGCGATAAACAGGTAGAAGGTGTTAAACTGTTATTATTTCTCAGTCTTGAATGCATCCATTTGAGGACAGAGATGGATTTGGCTAAAGCCTATAGCATGATTTCCACCCTGGAACCAAGTTATGTCTGATAAAAACGAGTGGCGTGACACTGACATTTTTCCTGTCAAAGGAAATCAGAATGGTAACAATATGAATTCATTTCCTCCGTGTTATCCTCCATCAGACATCCAATGTTAACATCCATGTGCAGGCTCCTGTAAACTCTGTTCTTGAATAGACTAATGTAAACTCAGGAAGTGCAGAAAGTGCATCTATGTTCTGTTTTTCAGTCTGAACATTTATAGAAAACGAGTGCATGTATGCAAGTCACAAACTCATGTGAACTCTTTGTTTTTAGCTTTTTTTCCCACATTTATAGACATCAAACGGGAGCCCGGCCAGAAACAGAGGGCTGAGCTGGAGTGTTATACAACGCGACAAAGCCAAGACATGCTACAAGCTAATTCTGACATCCCACTGTTTGAGCGCAGGCTTCCAAATTCATCACTTCGCTTCTAATGAAACACGCAGGAAAGTCGCAGAGAGCTGCCAAAGAAGGACAACTGTGAACTCAGCTTTTGGAAACATCGTTCACACCAGGGAGACACTGAGCTCTCCACGTGTTCTTTAGCACTGTTCTATATCTGGATTCTGCTGAGTGTAAAACGTAGATATCTGTTATACATTTTGAAGTGATGTCCTCAACTCTTTTGGCTTTGGGATTTGTGTTGACAACAGGATTGCAAGTACACTGACTGTCAAAGCCACCGTGTTTGATCGCTTCGTGCTGCTGTACAATTACAAGGACCTATTTTAAGTGTTTGGTTAAAATGCTTTGTAAGATTAAACTTCTCTATTTGATTCTTACTTATGTGATTATGATGATATTTTAATGAGATTGAATGTGATATCTTACAGACCTGACAATTGTAGTCAATAAACATTTCAGAAGAGGGAGCCACAATGAAGGCAATGCAAACTGAATGTGAATGCTATTTATTTATACTTATATTAACATACAAAAAGTTCATTAACCATAAAAACAAAAATACAGTTTATATTTATTTATTTGATTGATTGAGAACTGGGGCTTTTAATGCTGTATTTACATCTTAGATGGTAACATATAAAGAATAAAGATTTCAATGAATGAAATATAGTTTTAGCCACCAAAAACCTTAAAAACATTGTCCTTTCCTGCCTTAGCATAGTGCCCTGTGAATAAAGGATACATTTAATTGACTGAGTCCTGAATAGTGTCTACATGTCTCTTAATGTCAACATGTGTACATCCCCTCTACTGTGGACTCAATGAAACAAAGCTGCTTGTAAAAGTGCAACCCATGTGAGAGTGACATGGAGCTGAAGGGTGTGTCCATATTTGCTGACTGCTGGCTCTGTGATGGATGGAGTTCATCCTCTCTTTTATTTCCTAAATGGAGTCATTGAAAAAGCATTTGAATCGCACAATAAATTCATATAAACCCTCTATTATGATTGCATTTGTTGACATTGGTGGCTGCGTTCCTCCTCACGAATGCTCCACCTTTGTGCTTCACACATAAACTACTGTGCACAGAGCTTCCCAAGAGCTCCATTTTACTCCCAAACTACAGAGGAGAGCTAACTTTATTCCTTGAGGCGTTATGTAACCCCGTGTTTGGGTGTAATGTTAGCGATTGTCCAGCAGATGGCACGAATTCACAATAAACACTGATGTCTGCACCTCACAATGTGGTCTCCATGTGAGCACGCACATGCCAGTTTCCTGACACCTCAATCTCCACCTCCAATAATAAATAATAATAGTTATTTGTTATAAAATAATAATCTGTGACTGCAAGCCTCCAACACTGTGAAATAATTCATATAAATTACTTTAGATGTGATATGCAGCATATTGATCAACTATATTAGTACATCAGTAGTTTTCTTTTTAAATTCACAGTGGGGTTTTTCTGTTGCTAGAGAGTAGGCTTACAACATTTTATAGAAATTAAATGAATAATAGATTTAATTTTCTTTTTTTTCTCCTTTATTTTTTACATATAACCACCAAAAAAGTCATGTATTCTCTGCAACAAAACACCTGTAGAGCTACAGCATACTTTTAAATTAAAGAGCTGTGATATAACCCTCAGACAAGCTGCTACCATAATAAAACAAATATGAAGTATTATTTGAATATATATTTAAATAAAGCAGGAATGTATCCAGTCTTTATGTAATTGTATTTAAAATGTATAAGATGATTTCAAGTCCTTTTCTGTGGCCTTATAACTAACAACAGGTTGCTGTTGCTCTCCCTCACTTGTGACTTTGCTATGTTCCCCACACTCAGGCCATCTTGTGACAGTCACAGCTTTAAGGACATTCATTCCCAGCCTAACCAACCGGAAGCGCGGATTGATTTCTCCATGGCGAGCAAGGGCGGCTAAAAAACAGGAGGAGAAGAAGAAGGGAGAGAGAGAGGGAAAAAAAGAAAAAAGAAATCAAAGGAGCGCTCATTAAATCATAATCCATCAACCTCTGAAAGGCATTTCACAAGAGGAGACAAGCGTTTAAATCTCACATTGACAGGCTATCCGCTTACATCAAGGATTATTCTTTCGGATATGGGATCTACCTTCAGGGTCCCCACCTGCTGGGCACCGTAATGGTGGTGAGTATCCAGATCTTTGGAGAAGGATCTCTCAGCCTTTTATTGGCATGACAGGTTCATTGAAGGATAGTCGGACTTTTTTTTTTTTTTTTTATGCCTTTCCTCATAATGTGTGTGAAAATACAACGCAACGCAATACAACCGACTTATTAAGATTTTTAAAAATCTTTTTTGAATATCTCACCTTTGATTTCCCTCCGCTAATTGCGCGTGATGTGCATACACAACCACATTAGGCTTTGACAGACATTTTAAAGCCTTTTCCCCCCTCCTCTTCAATATATTGCAATAAATGTAAGTATTCGGTCCACAGAGGCTATTATATGTTTATAATTGGTTCATTATAGTTGCGCTTTAGGTGCGTATTTCCCCTTTTATTTCCAATTTCAGGCGAAAATGAAGGAAAATAGCACTCCACGTCGTGACAAACAAAATAGGCTTCAAATATTAAGCAACGGGGAGGGAATAGCTCTCACAGCTACAGGCCTATTTGGTGTGGAAATGTTTTTTCCCCCCCTATTTATTACATTTAAAGGGAGACAAAAGAGGTTTTGTACGTAAGGAGAAAAGGAAAAACAAAAATCTATTTTTGGTACACCAGTTGCTCTCTGTAAAGGGGACTGATTACAAGCAATAGACACATCTGGCGAGGACACGCCCAGACTCATTCAGACCCATTCACGCTTCATTGTAAAGCTTTTGCATCAGTGTTTGCTCCTTTAAGCCCAACACCAGAGCCATGAAGGGGTTAATTCCGTATGTAATTTTGTAGAAACAAGGAAGGAATATGAAAGTGGTGAGGAATTAAGTATTAAAATTGTTAACTTAGTTGACTGAAAGCCACTGGAGTCGTTTAAAATCACAGTTCAAGGACCTCAGGTGGCTCCCCGGACCCTAGTTTGGACACCACTGGTTTCCAGGGGATGCTGATGGGTGGATGCTGCCACCGACTGAGAGCGTCACCCTAGGTCGGCGGCTCACCGGTGTGTACGTGCCTCTCTTGTTTTTACCCCGCTGCTGGGTGTCGTCGTGCCGCCGGTGGCTGCTCCGGAGGGGAGGGAGAGAGAGAGGAGGGTGAGGGAGAGACATAATGGCCGAGGCGAACGCAACAAGCTCTCGTTTGTGGCAAAAAGTGTCGATTTTCGGAGTCCTGGAGATAAGACGGAGACATTATCAACATGGCGACAGCTTCTGAGGCCCGCCTCGGCTCGTTTTGAAACCGCGAACAATCAAGGTACCGTCCCGACACCCGCACTCGTCCTCATTTCTGATGTCTAATTAAGCCTCAACAAGCTACTTCCATCCACATACTGTCATGTCGGTCTCTATCTGTTGCTGTTGGAGTTGTTTAGAAAATCAATACAGCAGTCCTAAATTAAAACAGAGTCCAACAGGAGATGAAAAACGTCCTCAAAGTGCTTTAAGGTGACGATAGAGACGCCATTGTGTAGTTAAACACATTCAAAATGTCTCAGGTATCAGGTTAGGGTTGTACTTTTTATGTTATTTTTAGTGCTCTTCTGCTTTAAGCACCATGGACAGCAGCGCCCCTTTGACACCATGTCAGCTGAAATTGTATTCATTCAGATAAAATGTGTGTAACTGAAAAAGCAAATGTCTACAAAATGCTACTTTTTGTTGTTTAAAAAAAGCCCAAAATGTTTCCTACATGTAGACTTATTGTTGTGTTCTCTGAGGTGAAACATCTGTCCATGGCTCAAAGGCACTTAAATGAGGCGTTATTGCAGTGGAAATATGATAGGTACCTTTATAAAGAACAGGTTTTTCTATTTTACAAACAATACTCACATGCATGTATGTACATTAAAACAGTTTCTGGGCCTTTTATGTGCAAAAAAAAGTTTCCTTGCTTAGCTTTGGTGGAGGGACAGCAACACAATGAGGGGATTTTGTACAAATTAGACAGTAACTTTTGAAGATGCACGCTTTATTTGTCTAAATCAGGCTGCTGAAGGCTCCTGGTAGCGTATTTTTCGCACACAACCTGAACTGTGGAAGTGACCTCTTCACGGCTTTTATTGTGACAGCCACCAGAAGCTGTTTACTTGCACATACGGACATGTGAGTGTTGTATTGTCACTGTGTCCTTTAACCGCTAGGCCACCCGACTGAAACCAACAAGATTTAGAGCACGAAGGCAGCCTCGAATCAAAGTTTCACGTCATCATTTAGAGGTTTATGTATTTTATTTGATCTTGTGGCCATTAGAAAGCATTTTCCCAAGACTTTGTGATCTCTTAGCAACAATGTCAGTTTTTAAAGTGTCCATGTGCTGCACCGAAAGGCCGTCTGTGTGTGAACACTGTAATGCCTCTCAGTGCCAGGATACATAAGTGCAGAAATGTCGGCTGTCCCTACATGTTTTCAGTCTGTCATGTTATATCCGACTCCAGGGATGACCCCGCTGATAGCTGAGCTCAGAGGTGGGTGTGGATGTTGGGCCTACGGGGGTCGATCAGGCCTCACAACATACCACCACCACAACCACCACCACCACCACCGCCCGGCAGCTCCTTCTAGACAAGCTGTCAGGCCACACATCACAACACTGGATCCCGGGGCAATCTGTAGGACACAAGCAGATGTGTTTTATGAGAGCCCCTATGGGAGAAGCTACAATTAATTCACTGTTTATGCCTGATGAATTTTCCAGCTACTATGGCTTTCTAATAAGCCTCATCTCTGGTAAAAATTGATTTAATGCTTGGATAATGGGAGTTTATTAACCATAGCACTTGTGTTTAGTGCAAGAAATGGTTAAATTAAATGTTCTGTCTTGTGTGTTATGTCATAAATTGGTTGGTAGGATGGTTTTCAATGTTTGGAGTAGAGTTGTTTGTCCCCCGTACGTTCTTTTTCTGTAGCTTCCTTAACTTTCCTTGGACCATATGACACAGTCTTCATCAGCAGATGGGGTTAGCTCTGCTGTCATTGAACCGTAGATCAAGCTTGAGCCTGGAGATTGTTAGCTTAGCTTAGCATAAAGACTGCAAACAGAGGCAAATGGCTAGCCTCGCTCTACGAGTGCAACAAACAAGATGTAATGTGTTCATAAGTGAGCTTTATAGGTCATGGTTGTTAGCCGTTTTACCCCTTTTTCTAGTCTTTATGCAACAGGCTGCTGACTTCAACTTCATATTGAGTTAGTGGTATAAAGAAAAAAGGCATGTTGTTCCTGATTGTTGATTTTTAGATTAAATTAAGAATGAATTTCCTCCACTTTTCTCAATAGTGAGGTCACATTGGCTTCATGAAAGTTAGGGACCCTTTTTGGCTTCCCAGTTGCATATGATCATGAAAGAAAGCTTGGTTTGGTTTGTGGATTAGTTTGGGTGTGGCGTGATATTGATAGACATGACACACAAAGTCTAAAACTGGTAAAACTCATATTTACATCAAGGCTAAGGATTACTATGTTTGGGGGGGACACTGTGTTCCGGACTTTCTACTCTGGTGCGGTGTTGAATGTCAAAATGACTTAAAACTCTACCACTGTTTTTTTACAATGGAAAGAATGATTTGGTCGTAGCGGGCTGAGGCGGTCTCTGTTCCTCCATTTCCCTTTGGAAAAGCCGATGACTCAAGAGGACATCACTTTTCAGATTCTGCCAGAGGGGACGTTCCTGTTTTCTGGGCCAGTACAGTGTCCCACGAGGAACAAGGCCCACCTGTGAGACTGCAGAGACTGGGAGGCACCAAGGATGCGCTGATAATGGCTCACCAGGGTTTTTTGGGAAGGTCTTGTTTGTGTGCCTTCCCTCTATTTCCTGTGGGAACATGATGGGTTTCTGGGTGTGAAGGGTGACAGATTGTTAACAAGGGAGATCCGGTGTTGGTGCTGATTGGTGCAGAAGAAGAAAAATCAATACTATCAATTACATTTGTTGCTGCTGAAAGCTTTTGTGAAAACAGTTAATTTTGTACTAATTTGAGCCTATTCACCAATTAATAATGCAATAAAAGGACAGTACTTCCTCTTTATTTTCTCCTTCGGCTGCGCCCTGTTTCCATCCCCGTGGGAAACCAGGCCATGCTGATGATCTGCTGAGATCTGATGAGCCCCGTAGGAATGCACAGGCTTATGCATCCCCAGTGGCCCGAGGACAACCCAGGGTTCAGTGTCTCGCCCAAGGACACTTCGGCATGTGGACAGGAGGAGGTGGGGACCAAATGATCAACCCTGTTATCAGTAGAGGACTCGCTGTCCCTCCAGAGCCACAGCCGCCCCAGAAGGACATTTCCTGTCCAGAAACCACTTTCTACAAATGCAGCAATCAATAGAGACTCAAACAGAGCAATAAATGGGGGGAAGCTGGCAAGATTATATTCTCTTGAGAGTCTTTTGCGTGTCTGCTTCTCATGCTGTCAATCTCAGTTGGTGCTGGCTATTTCTGTTCCCCCCGTGAATCAGCTGAAGGCCAACGTCAGACCCCCATTTACTGCCTCTCTAAAGCCTCCGCACTACCTGCGATCTCTCGCTGCTTTGATTCCACTCAGAGGTCGGCGTGACACACCCACCCTCTTTATTCATACATTAATGTGCGTTTTAGCAGGCAGTTGGTTTGTTTCCACATTAGCTCAAAGCAAAGGCTTATTAATATATCTGTGATTTGTCACCATGATGATTCTGAAAGATTCTTGTCACCAGTCATCAGTTATAAAACAGGTGTCAGACACACTCAGATTGGTAGTAGTCAGTCAGGACTATTTGCTACTGAAATGTCCTCTCTCATGTGTTTTTTATCCTCCTGCAGCCTTTCATATGCATCTTTATGTCTATTTAGGGTTAGGGTTCATATTTACCTTCCTCTTTTGAGATTATAAATACTATGACGGCCATTTAAAAGTCTCCGGTCTCATATTTCTTTTTAGCCAAGTTCAGACATCCACCTCTTTATGTAAATGTGATGGCAATTCAACATAAGTGCACTTTTATGTAAAAGTCACAACAGCAATCTTATTAGACAGGACTTCGTAATACCTCTGTGATACTTCCAACATGTTACGAGTCTGCACAGGCAGAAGGTTAAAGTAAGTAGTATCATCTCCTGCACTAACAGAAAACAAAATATAGTCATAATATTATATATTATTATAATCCATCACTTATGCAGACTGTGACACTGCAGGAAACATTTCTGCCTTTACTTTTCTCTTCCTCTCAGCATCAGGTGCCAAATATCATGGAAAGTAACATCCATTTTTGATTTTAGTACTTTAGTCATTTTCAGCTACTGTCTTTGTTTGGATTTGGAACAAGAGGCACAACTCAGGTTATTGTGCAGCAGATAGAATATTTTTTTCATCCAGAAAGGTTTGAAAATTCTCTGAATAGCTTATAATATATATGATATATATAATTTTTTATATATTTATTTTTTTATATTAAATATAATGATTTTTTGGTAAATAGGGTACTTTGTGCAGTGATTATATTCTAATGACATTACATGAGAGGCACAAACAAGGGCTAACTTCATCAAGACATTCAGACATGGGTGACTTTAAATGTTCCACATTTACTTTACAGAAATGTATTGACAATGGATGAGAGGCTGTAACTGTAATGTTAGTCCTGGAAAGGGAGGAGACATTAACTTTCCTTAATCTTATCACATCTCATTTATCCAGGCGAGGTTTCCAGTTTACTTACAGCATGATGCAGGACGATAACCTCCACAGGTGAATGTACCAACTATTTTCAGAAGCGTTTCCTCCTCACTTCCTTCTCCTTGCAGCTCCCTGCTCCAGCTGAGCCCCTCGGTGCCCTCTGAAGGAGCAGGATGACAAGATGGCACAGCTGCTTGTACCGCCCGGACCTGACAGCTTCCGCCCCTTCGTCCCCGAGTCGCTGGCCGCCATCGAGAGGCGCATCGCCGAGGAGGAGGCCCGGAGACCACGGGCGGAGCGCCGCAGCGACAGCGACGATGAAAATGGGCCCAAGCCCAACAGTGACCTGGAGGCGGGGAAGTCTCTCCCCTTCATCTATGGGGACACCCCTTCCCACATGGTGTCCACCCCTCTGGAGGACCTTGACCCCTTCTACAGCAATCAGAAGGTCTGTCATTACAAGTCCATCTTATGAAAGGAACATATGAAGCAAACTAAAGTGAACTGATACCTTTAAGACGTGTTTGTGACTGTGCTGGCCCTAAAGCATAATTATGTATACTGATTTAGCCTTCAATTATGGTATGACTCAAGCACTGAATTTTTATACATAGCAGGTCTGTACTTTCAGTCCATGCTTTTCAGCCCCTAAAAGCCTCAAGTTAATTGCTCAATGCTCTCCACAAACTATTTTAAGGATGCACGTGTGCAAATGTAGCAATTTCCTCCCACGTAAGATAAACTTCTGCTGCAGAAAGATAACACCTGAATACATCCACTTTCAATCTTTCTGTTTGCCCAGCTCGCTTTGTATTAAAGGATATAGTGCAGCTAATCTTAAAACAATAATTGGAATCCTGGTCACTGCCATTCACATGTTTCATAGATGTAATTACTCAAATATTGTACTCTTGAACAATTCTGAGATAGTTTACTTGAGTATTTTATTTTATGCTTCTTCATACTTTCACTCCATATAGTTTTTCATCCACATTTATCTCACAGATATAATTACTTTGCAGACTAAGATTTTTCATACAAATAATATGATCAGCTTCTAAAAATATGATGAAAAAAATTTTAGTATAGTACTTGTATTTTAGTGAAATTGAGGTTTTATTAAGGTCTAAGTGCAGTAAGAATAAATTAAATGAGATATTAAATAATCTTACTGCACAAAATAAAGTTTGTAGAAGTCAAATATAGACAGAAATTCCTTTATAAGATTAAGGGTTCAACAACAGTAAAACACTACACACACATTAATGCATCAATTAATTATAATCCTCTAAAATATATAATGCAATCAAAGGAGACATTTTGTATAACAAGTACTTTTGCTTTTAATATTTTGAGATCATTTTACTGAAAACAAACAGAAGCATTTATGGAAATACACTCATTCATTGTCTTGCTGGGAGTTAGATGAGTTTGTAGCGTTTGTACGCTAAATATGGAGCTAGATTCAGCAGCCAGTAAACTTAGCTTAGCATAAAGACTGGAAGCAAGGGTAAACAGCTGTCCAAAGGTAAAAAACTAACAAAAACACACCCACCAAAACATCTAAAGCTCATTATTCAACATGCTAGATCTTTTTTGTTTTATCTGTTCTAAAACCAATGTTAAATCAACAAGTTGTGGTTTTACGGTGGTTTTGTGGGACTGTGTTGGTGAGATGGACTATTATAAATGATAGCTGTTTCCCCCATCTCCAGTCTTTGTTGCTAAACTAGGCTAACTGGCAGCTGGAAGTAGCTTCATATTTAATGTTGACCCTTTTTACTGCATTAAATTCAAACAATTAGCAGTTTCAGCCTAAAAGCCATTTCAACATTAATGTGCTCAGCCAAGTCAGGGGCTTTAAAGCATGGGTCAACTGAGGTGCTAAATGCTAATCTGAGCTGTTGTTCCAGTTGCAACAGCAGTGCCAGCATGTCCTGAAGTGGACTCATCCAGCTTCATTATAATACAAAACCCACAGACCCTGAGCAGAGGCTGGACAGCTTCGTCCTCTCTGCTGTTGTGACTAATAATTACACATGCACAAAGGCAGGCACGATGAGCAGATACTATAGGACACACGCAGGTCTCCCCTGGGTGCTGCATCTCTCACATATAACAAATAAGGTATGACGAGGCTTCGTATGATACAGATTTTAACAAATGTTCTTCTGTCTCTCTTTCAGACCTTCATAGTATTGAATCGCGGGAAGGCAATCTTCCGTTTCAACGCCACTCCTGCCTTGTACATCTTAAACCCCTTCAACCCTCTAAGGAGGGTAGCTATTAGAGTTTTAGTACACTCATATCCTTTCAGAGTTTGCCACAGACACAGTTTGATTTGGATTAAACGGTTTGTCAGACAAAAAGAGGGATTTAATTTTATGCTAATAAAAAAGACTGAATGACTTCATTGGGTTAGACTTTCTATGTAGACGTACATCAGGATTTACTGCTGCTGAGTAGTTGAAGACATTTTAGATTACAGCCTGTTATTTTATATTTACTGTAGTAATTATAGATGGGGATGTGTTTTCTGTCAGGTTTGGTTGTAGCGTATCATACATTTCATGCATTCATGTGTTCCTTGACTTTGCCTCTACGATGTTCAGCATGTTGATCATGTTCACCATCCTGACCAACTGTGCTTTCATGACCCTCAGTAATCCCCCAGAATGGGCCAAGAATGTAGAGTAAGTCCCCATTTTCTACAATTTGCTTTACACCTACAATTTAACTTCAGATCCTGCCTAATAATCCTCATGTTTAGACATTAAGTGTCAGAAGTAATCAAGTGGTTGTACATCCATGGTGAAAAAAATAACTGCTAACAGATAATGCAATGTGAAATTTTTAATGATGTAAATTTGATCAAAATAAAGAAATACAGGCTTTAAAAAGCAGTGAGGTAGCGATGAGTCTGTGTGTTAGCCCACAGCTAACTCACTGAAATCACTCCAGCATTTACTCATCCACTACTCCCTGTATGATAGACACTTAACTCCTAGTTTGCTCTTTAGGGAGCAGTAAAATGAGATTTCAGACAACTTATGAATCATCACCTTTTAGTGGCATCATTCACAGGTGGACTTTGGCTCATGTGAGGCGTTTGTTTGGTTTTCAGGCCAAATCGAATATATCAAAGCTTTCTTACTGTCCCTAATGTATTTACAGTTTGAATGTTAATGTGAACGCTATTTACAAGTCGGAAATCTGTAAATACAATAACTCAGTGAATGCAGGAACAGCCAGTGACTCAAAATACTTCAATGGACAACTATTAATTGTGTCACAGCAGATACATCAGGCAAACTTTGGAAATAATGTAATATTCAAGAATCCCATCAAGTAAATGGTGACTAACTTAAAAATCCACTACTGCCCCTCGTACAGTGGCTCCTGTCACCTTGCCTCTGAACAATGGAGCTGCTAACAACATTACTTCTCTCTGCTTGTTTTCCGCCTCTCTCCCCACACTTCCTCTCTTGTTTCACCAGGTACACATTCACAGGGATTTACACCTTCGAGTCCCTTATAAAGATCCTGGCCAGGGGCTTCTGTGTGGGGAAGTTCACTTTCCTCCGGGACCCGTGGAACTGGCTGGATTTCAGTGTTATCCTCATGGCGTAAGTATTCTGACAAGCCTAGTTAGGATGAGCTTAACACGATGTGGCGTAGATTAAGAGGCCAAATGCTTTTAATGCTCATCATCTCAGCAGCATATTAAGTCCCACTGAATGTGAGGAGAACAGGGAGAATGAAGAGGGGAAGATAATCTGCAGCTTAGTAGTGTGCGTTTTAAAAGCAGGGCCATAAATCTCCACTGTACTCCGTTATAACGGATGTGAGCCCCTTAAGCGCGGAGTATCCTGGCCCATATTTGTCCCACCCTTCAATAACTTCACCTACAAAAAGAAGCCTTCAGCATTAGGTTACACAGTGAATGATTTTATGTGATCATACTGTTTGTTGATGTGAAGAATTACTCACTGATAATATAATAAGTATAATCTTGTTTTGTCTGAGAGATTCCTGTAATGCTGTTGCGAGAGCTGCTGTTGTTTCTTGGATGTCTGTGCACGTGTAATGGGTTTCCGCCTGTGTAATGCTGTGTAGTAACTGTGCATTTGATCCTGCAGGTATATAACAGAGTTTGTAAACCTAGGCAATGTTTCAGCTCTGCGCACGTTCAGAGTATTGCGAGCTTTGAAAACTATCTCAGTAATACCAGGTAAGGCTGCCCGTGCCTGCTGCCAGCACTCCTGTCATTTGTCCTCTGTGTGTGACCGTTTGCCGTTCCCTCCTTTCCCCTCCCCGTCCCTTGACCCTCCCTTTGTCTTGTCACGCCATGTGTGTGTGTGTGTGTGTGCCTGATTTGTGTGTGTGCGCGCGTATGTGCGTGTGTGTCCCACACCTTTTTCCGGAAATGCCCCTCTACCCAACTCCCTCCCCTCCCCTCCCTCCCTACTTCCTCCTCCCCCTCCCTTACAGATATGTCACAGAGTTTGTGGACCTGGGCAATGTCTCAGCACTGAGAACCTTCAGGGTTCTGCGAGCCCTGAAAACTATATCAGTCATCCCAGGTGAGAGAGCCATCAAGGCCCATAGGGTTAATGAAATGCTAATGGCTAAATGGCGTTTCGCTAACATCCAAGCAACCCCGCCCCCCCTGCGCCCCTCCTCTCAGCTCATCTCACTGTAGCTAAGCCTGATGACGCCCGTCGCCATCTCTCATGCTGCCTTCGTCCCAAGGCCAGTAAAAGCTGGAATCTGGCTCCAATCTGCACAGATTGACAGGATTCTTAGCTTTTAGATACATCCTTTAAGGCAGAATTCTTTTTGGTTGAAATCTATTCTTGCCTTGGGAGACTTACAAGTAGATTTTGTGCACTATTGTTACTGTTTTTTCCTTTTTGCATGAGACATTGCAAAAGCCGATTTTCTGGTGGCAAGCACTTGTTTGTGTAGGGTTCCTCCTTACCTTGTTTTCCTGTGCATGTCTTGTTCAATGTTTTTGTGTTTTTGGAGAATATTGTGATATGGTGAGTGGTGGTTGGGTAATGGCATCGCAAACACTAATACTATTCACATCACAAACTAACAAAAAGGTCATATGTAAACCATCCAGGAAAACTTTTCATTGGCTCTTTGTATAAAAAGGATAATCTTATTCCACAACATACATTTTTTATTCGAGCTGTCACAACTACATGTGGACCCAGTTTAAACATTTCGGGCTCTATTTTTTTGGCATTGCAAAACCTAATATAAGCAACGCCGTCACTTTGATATTTATATGCAGAGCATAGTGCATGTGGCGCAAAGGTGGAAGAAGAGGTGCAGCACGTCTGGGAGCTGTATTTCAGTGAAAATTGGATCTTTAATGTTGAGAATACACATTCAAACACAGCCTCACTGGTAAAAGAATGGTTTGACATTTGGGGAAATAGCTCTACTGGCTTTATTGTTGAGACTTAGATGAGAATATTGATACTGCTCTCATGTCTGCATGCTAAATATGAAGCTAGAGCCAGCAGGCAATTAGCTTAGCTAAGCATAGAGAGTGGTAGCAGATGGAAACAGCTAGCCTGGCTCTGTCCGAAGTTAAAAATACACCTTTCAGCACCTCTAAAGGTCACTAATTGACACACTGTATCTCATTTGTTTAATCAGATCAAAATCTACAACATAAAGATGACAAGTGGTAGTTTAACTGTATTATCTTTGGCCAGGAACAGTGAATTTCGGTCCAAAAAACCACAATTTGCCATTTTTACATTTTGTTTTTGTACATTTTACCCTGCTGCCAACCTTAATACTAAGCTAAACTAAAGACTTACTGGCCTGTGCAGACATATAGGGTGGTCTCAATCTTCTCATCTCATTCTCAGCAAGAAAGAAAATGAGTGTATTTCCCAAAATCTCACTCTACTTTATTAATTTAATTTATTAGGTTGTGCATTCAAATGTGCAACAGTTTCAAAACAGTTACAAGAGTAATATACAACATTACGCACAGAAAATAGAAATACAAATTGTTATTTTCTGGCTTGAAGAAGCTGGCTTTAACATTTTCCTCATGCTCCACAACCAGCTGCATGAGAAAGGTATGAGACCAGTAATGTGACTGGCTGAGAGGATAACAATTAATCCCCACAATCACCTTCCAATTTATATACCACTTCACTCGACCCTCTTGCGCATACTACTGTGCCTATATGGATAAAAACAGCATGGCGCTTTTATACATCCTCATTGACCTTGTGCTCATTACCCAGTAGTGTGCGCAGGTCTTTGCGACTGCACTAAAAAAAGAGCTCAGTTTAACTGTTTCAGTGGCATTCAAACAGAAGACAACATCACAGGTCCTGTAAAAATATCGAAACAACAACAACACATACAAAGACATCATTCATTGCTGATCATTTTCCCAGAGACCATTACAATTGCACATGAGAAACAATACTTTCTCTAGTGGTTTATCTATGATTAGCAGTGATCTGTGTCAGCCTGGTTCCTGTATGACAGCTCACAGTTCATACAGGAACCTCCACTGCAGATCCCCCTGGCTGCTTGCTACTGTAAGCTCTAATGAGCAGCTTCTTCTTTATACAAGCTTGTGGCTGTAATTAGCAGTCAGTAATCATTCTGCGATGTCCCCCTCCCGCCCCCCACTTGCCCTCTCTCTTGTTTAGGCTTGAAGACCATCGTTGGTGCACTGATCCAGTCGGTAAAAAAGCTGTCGGACGTCATGATCCTCACCGTGTTCTGCCTCAGCGTCTTCGCCCTCATCGGCTTGCAGCTCTTTATGGGCAACCTGAGGCTAAAGTGCGTGCGCATGCCAATCCACATCAACAGCACCAACAGCACCAACATCACCGACCCCGACACGTTGTACATCAACACCACGGAGAACTCGTTCAACTGGACGGAGTACATCAGCGATGAGAGTAAGCCGAGTGAGGCGTGTGAAAGTGCTGTTACATGTCTGCCAGGCGCACATAGAGGTTAACCAGGGTCAAGTTAGCATCCGACCCAGACGGCCTGAGTCAGATGACGGCTACTTCATATGGAGAGATGGGTCAGGGTGGTGGTAGTGGTGGTGGTGGTGGTGTGGGGGAGGTCAGGCACGTTGGCCTGCTGCCATGATAAGGAGTGACAGCAATGGCTGGGAGCGGCGGCTGCACTCTCTAACAAGGGCTGGTGGGAGAATGCGGCAAATGTGGCAGATAATCGCCACAACAATAAAACCCTCTACTTTCACCCCCTCACTACCCTTCATCATTCTCCCATAGCCCATCTGTGTGGCATGAGCAGCCTAAAGTGCTAGAGGAGGGTGAGTCACTGATCGCCAGCAGGATATCGAGGAGATGTGCACCAGCTACATGACAAGCTGATGCCGGAGCAAGAGGAGGAGAAGGAGAGGAAGACAGATATTATTAAAATTGCATAGATGTTATAATGTCTGGCATCTCAATTGCGTCCGTGACTATGTTTCCCCCTAAAAACAAATTGTGATTTCACGACAGTTAAGTGGTTCCTGAGGACAGAGTGGCTGTGACTGCTTCGCCAAACAGATGACTAATGTGGTTGGGTGTTAAAACAAAACAACAAATCACCACCTTTCTCTTTGTCTCCCAGCCACTGTGCTATATTACACCACACACAAAAACTGAAGAGAACCCCACAGCCTGCATATGGTCTTATCTGTTTCTTCATATCCGCGGCTTCACCCCTGTGATGTGGCTCCGACTGACCGTCCCTCTGTCTCCCCTCTCCTCTAGGTAATTACTATTACCTCCCTGGCCGTAGGGATGCTCTGCTCTGTGGGAATGGCAGTGGCGCTGGGTAAGGCTTGACATGTTTTATTTATATGGCCAATTAGATGCACCACAAAGCTGAGCATACACAATTAGTGTCGACACTCGCCACCGCACCACACCACATCGCAGGAATCTAAACTGCTGGTTAACTATGGGTGCATTTCATTTAATGTCTTTTTGGCAAATGTTGCAACTTGTTCCTTTATGTGCATGTTGTAGCTTTTTGATTTAAGTTGATATTTAAGACTTTTATTAAAGTTTCAAGCTTTTGGTTTTACTTTAAAACCATCATCAGGAGCTGTCCAGAGGGCTTTTCATGTATCAAAGCTGGTCGTAATCCAGACTATGGCTACACCAGCTTCGACACCTTCAGCTGGGCGTTCCTCTCCCTGTTCAGACTCATGACGCAGGACTTCTGGGAAAACCTCTACCAGCAGGTTGGTAGAACTCTGCAGAATAACTGTGATTCATTTCTGATCATTATATAGTTACAGAATTCGTAATTCGTAATTCGTCGTCATTTGGGTGTATTCACTATTCATCTGTAAAGGTCGCTGACAGTGAACTTTGTAGATCGTTATTAATGTTGTCGTATCTTGAAATATGACTGTTGTATTGCAGTGTGAAAATTCAAAACAAGAAAAACATCAATTGAAAGCAGTTGATTTCATAATAAAAGCCTGACCTTCAATCAGTAAATAACTGAGAAACATATCCAGTTAGTTCAGTAAGTGTGTGTTGAAAAGGGTGTGTCATTCGGTAATTATAGACTAGGCCTGTTATGTAAGGGGTTTTTCTCTTTTGTCTTTTGTTTTTGTGCTGCAGCAGTACAATGCAGCAGCTTGACATTTGCAAAGTCACCAAACAATGGGATGACCACAACTGATACTGTGTTACGTCAACTAGAACAAAATAAAAGGACAAAATTCTACTTCTTTTATTGTATTAATCAACTCCTAACAACAACTTCTCCTCCTCCTCGGGTCTGTCTTGAATCCATCAGACTTTGCGTGCCGCAGGAAAACCCTACATGATCTTCTTCGTGCTGGTCATCTTCCTGGGTTCCTTCTACTTGGTCAACCTGATCTTGGCCGTGGTGGCCATGGCTTATGACGAGCAGAACCAGGCGACCATTGAGGAGGCTCAGCAGAAGGAGGAGGAGTTCCAGGCCATGTTGGAGCAGCTGAAGAGACAGCAGGAGGAGGCACAGGCAGGACATTCATCTTTATCTGTTCAAATTCAAGTTAGAATTGAGATACAGGCTACCATTTTGTATCTGATGAAATGTGTCCATTGAGAAAGTGATATTTTAAACTGTTAAAGCAACAGGGAAGTTTTTTATTGAGCACATGGAATAGTCTGAGTAATTTATCATATAAACAAGTGGCTGGGAGAATCTCTTTGTATGTAACTGGGGAGACTTTGTTGATTCTTGAGCTTAAAGTCTTGAGCCAGCTGCCAAAAGCAGCGTTGCCACGGGCAACCGAGGGATTCACTCTGCTGGATGACTGACACCCCTCTGCCACTCCCTCGGGGAACAGGAGTCCTTGGACGACCTAGAGAAAGAAAAAATTAGCAGATTGACAAGGAGTGCAAATACAACGTTAATGGAAATATACCGATTGTAGCTCTGCTCAATAATCTGTGTGTCGTCTGTATTAGAGGCTCCTTATCAAGGGAGAAACACACCTTGTGTTCCTGGGCAGCAAACCAGTTATTTTGAAGCTTGTGACGACAAAGCCAGACAGTCTATTTCTGTCCTGTGTTACAAATCTGACACACAGCTGAAGTTCATATTCATGCTCACATCAGCACTGCATTGGTACATTTCAAGTAGGAAATAATACAGATACCAATGTAGTAGCAAAGGAGGGGAGATGTAAAGTTAGTCCTAGACTGCATTGACTGTCATATGCTGGTGATGATACAGCATTGATTTCCAACCAGGAGAACTTCTTGTGCAGTTGCTAGGGGGAGGGGGAGTATCCATACATGTATGTTAAGGAGGAAAACAAACATCCAAAAAGGTTTACAAATGTTTGTGATGCTGATCTTTAGTAAATGTATTTTTACAAAAACTGGGATCAATAGACCACCAACCTGAGTAAGTTGTAGCATCTGAAAGCCACATTGAAAGTGAAAACTAATTGATAAGCAAGCAGATATGTGAAAAAAGTTAGCTTAAACTAATGGATAAATGTTTATTAAATGGTTTTGATTGATAAATGGGAACTTGAGCTCATGATGATGATGATGATGATGATGTGAGGAACGTGACCCAAAAAAAGGAACCACTGATAAGATATGCAGTATGTGTATAATAGAGTAAGGCAATTTGAAAGCTACATTTCCCCTTTACTTTCTGAATTTTACATGATGTTATCTCATCCTCATTACTGGAAGGTTAGATAGCTTGTTGCTGCCTTGCTTTATGTTTCCATGCGACTGAGCCAGGCCTGACACTGTCTTATCAGGCTTGTGCACACTCACATTGTTGTTGGTTGTGCTGTAGTTGCCATGACTGAGTCTTAAATCCTCCTACTATGGTGTTGTATGTTTTGTAGGACACAGAGGCATTTCTCTCCATCAGAGAAATCTAAATTAAGTGGCATGCTGTATTATTTGATTGCTTAAATATTACATATACAGTCATATATAATAATAATAATAATAATAATAATAATGTAAAATCTTATATTTAAATGTTTGGCAATGTTTTTTCTTACAAAGATTTTATACCCCAACCTAGCTGCTCAAAAGCATTTCATGAGCATCATACATTTCTGTGTAAAGAAATAATATATGTATGGATGTACATTGCTTTGCTTGGGAAATGTTGCATGAAAACATTCAGGCGTCCATTTTTAGAAGGTGTCTGAGGCTTATTTGGCTCTTCATGCTGCTGCTGCTGCTGCTCTGAGCTGCCAGGCTTTCTCCTCCACTCCAGTCCGCGAGAGCCTTTGAGACAGGCACGGGGTCGCCATGACAACTGTGTTTGTGCTCTGATTGGCTGGCAGGTTGCCGCGGCAGCAGCCACGGAGAGCGGAGAGTACAGCGGAAGAGGGGGCCCCACCTCCGAGTCCTCCTCAGGGACGTCTAAGCTCAGCTCGAAAAGTGCCAAGGAGCGACGCAACAGGCGGAAGAAGAGGAAGCAGAGGGAGGAGGAGGAAGAGAGGGGGGCCAGAGACAAGTTCCACAAGTCTGAGTCCGAGGACAGCATCAAGAGATCCAGCTTCCGCTTCTCCATTGATGCCAACAGACTGTCTTATGAGAAGAGATGCTCCTCGCCCAACCAGGTGACAAATTAGATTTGTCAGTGATTACCTGATAAGTGGAGCATTTTGGGAGCTCAAATTAGACTGAAATTGGTCTTGTCACATCATGCCAGAGATATAATTAAAGCTACTAAAAATAAAACCAGGGATTGAACTATATTCTCACCTATTTCGGTGTGTATTCATTCAAAGTTTTGTAAAGAAATAGTTCAACATTTTAGGAAATACATGCGAGTTAGTTAATTTTATGTTTAACCGTTTTAATTTTTTATTTACAGATTAAACAAACCTGGTATAATGTGTTAATTAATTCGCTTTAGAGGTGTTGGCAGGCTGATTTTGTTACGGTCAGATGGAGCTGTTTCCCCTTACTTCCAGTCTTTATGCTAAGATAAACTAACCCACTGCCAAATTTAGCTTCATATTTAGCATACACACATGAAAGCGGTATCAATCTTCCCATCTAACTCTCGGCAAGAAAGCATATAAGCTTAATTCCCAAAACAATTTCATAAAAAAAAAAAAAAGCGCTCAAAACAATCAAGCCACATTCACCAATCAGTGAATATTTCTTGGTGATAAATTCTTCCCTTTTTTGTGGCATATTTGTTACTCTTTCCTCTGTTTCTGTCTCATTTCTTCCTGCCCCATCTAACTACATACCTGCCCCTTTCCCTCATTTCACAGGACCACACAGCACCAAATGTGGCATTTTGAAGTGTCTTCTCTTGGAGTCACCCTCTGACCCCATATTCTCTCTTTCTCTCCGCCTCTTTTTCTCTCTCTCTCTCTCTCTCTCTCTCTATCAGTCTCTCCTCAGTATCCGCGGATCCCTCTTCTCACCTCGGAGGAACAGCCGTGCCAGCCTGTTCAGCTTCCGCGGCCGGGCGCGCGACATGGGCTCCGAGAACGACTTCGCCGACGACGAGCACAGCACCTTTGAGGAGAGCGACAGCCGTCGGGGCTCCCTGTTCTTGCCGCGCCGCCTTGAGCGCCGCTGCAGCGCAGTCAGCCAGACCAGCCTCGGGGCGCCGCGGATCATACTGCCCGCCAACGGCAAGATGCACTGCGCCGTAGACTGTAATGGCGTGGTGTCGCTGGTTGGTGGAACTTCTGTAACAACCTCCCCTGTAGGTCTCCTGCTGCCTGAGGTGACTTAAAGGCTTCACATTTATATCCCATAGTTCCTTTTGTTCTTGTGTTGTTGATAATGAATTATATATAAGTCAGACATTTTTGTTTTATACTGAAATGTCTCACACACACACACACACACACACACACAGTATGATACATTCATTGTCCTTTTCATGGGATTTATTGACAATAAGTAAAATCTAGAATATAACCAGACTCATCCTGTGTGAGGCCCTGCACACTCACAGATGTTTTCACTTACATGCTCTATACATAGCTCCCTTTGTGCTTAATATTGTTCAGATATCTTGGCATGAAGCTGTTTTTTAAATGTATTTCTTCCAGGGAACAACTACAGATACTGAGCTTAAGAAACGGCGATCAGGTTTTCACCAGCCATCCATGGATTATTTAGATGAACCAGGGGGCAGGCAGAGAGCTATGAGCGTGGCCAGTATCCTCACCAACACCATGGAAGGTAAAGGTCAGGCCATATTGTTGGCCTTCGTGTATTATTTTCTTATGTCTTCAACTTCACGCCTTCTGGAGAAAACTAGGAAGACAGAATATTGAGTATAAAGGAATAATCTTATCGACATGAATTTATCTGCTTTTCCAGAGCTTGAAGAGTCGAGACAAAAATGCCCCCCCTGCTGGTATAGATTCGCCAACACCTGTCTGATCTGGGATTGTTGCCCCACGTGGCTGAAAATCAAGGATGTTGTCAGCATGGTGGTCATGGACCCGTTTGTGGATCTGGCCATCACAATTTGCATCGTCCTCAACACCCTTTTCATGGCCATGGAGCATTACCCCATGACTAAAGAATTCGATAACGTTCTCTCAGTTGGAAACCTGGCAAGTATTGTGTGACGTGCTTACAAACTCTGACTGTACAAAACCAGAAGGAACATAAATGTAAAATATCTCTCGTGATGCAGATTCGGGTGTAAAACTATAATTTTGCACCCTTTTGTCATTAGGTGTTCACCGGCATCTTCACAGCAGAGATGTGCTTTAAGATCATCGCCCTGGATCCCTACTACTACTTCCAGGAGGGTTGGAACATCTTTGACGGCATCATTGTTAGTCTTAGTCTGATGGAGCTCGGCTTAGCCAACGTAGAAGGCCTGTCTGTGCTCAGGTCCTTCAGATTGGTAAGAGCACTGGCTGAGTAAAAGCGTAATATCTAAACTCAGACGAGAAAAGTTAAGATATACCTGGAGTCAGACTCCAGTGGCTCTCTCAATAACATTCATGTTATTAATGAGGTAATGATGTAATGAGAGCTTTTGTACGGTACATGAAAGGCCCCACTGAGAGTTGGTGTGGCCTTTGGGGCACGATGTGTTTTTTTGTGTTCACCTGATTAGCTTTCTATGACTGTTGTGTACTTCTAGGTTCTATGAGGCCACAATCAGTCATCTTTTACACATTGAAATTGAACAATAATACAGTATAATGAAAATCTGGTCTGCTTTTGAAACAATAGTTTGACATTTTGGGAAAATGTGCGTATTTGCTTTTTTGCTGAGAGTTAGATAAGCTCGATTCCACTCTTATATCTGTCTCTTACAAATGTGGAGCTAGCAGGCGATGAGCTTGGATTGTCTTAAAGCGGGTCTGAAATAATTTCCCCTATCCTGTTCCATGTTTAAAAACATGTAATAAATGTTGTATATTAATTAATCCATTAAATCATTTAGAAAAAAATCCAGAAAATCATACTGCTATTAATGTTTTCTAAAACAGCTGAGAGTCTTCAAACTGGCCAAGTCATGGCCCACTTTGAACATGCTGATCAAGATCATCGGTAACTCAGTGGGTGCTCTGGGGAACTTGACTCTGGTGCTGGCCATCATCGTCTTCATCTTCGCCGTGGTGGGCATGCAGCTGTTTGGCAAGAGCTACAAGGAGTGTGTGTGTAAGATCTCTGATGACTGTCAGCTGCCTCGCTGGCACATGCACGACTTCTTCCACTCCTTCCTCATCGTGTTCCGGGTGCTGTGCGGAGAGTGGATTGAGACCATGTGGGACTGCATGGAGGTGGCTGGACAGAGCATGTGCCTGATTGTCTTCATGATGGTCATGGTCATTGGAAACCTGGTGGTATGGGGTTCTTTCTCTTTCTTTACTTTCTTTAATCTGGATAGCATTGTTAATATTATGCTATGATAGTAATAAGGTCAAGTGGAGTCACTTTCCCTGCCTAATGTCCACTTCTTCCCAGGTTCTAAACCTGTTCCTGGCTCTCCTCCTGAGCTCCTTCAGCGCTGACAACCTGGCAGCAACTGACGACGACAGTGAAATGAACAACCTGCAGATTGCAGTGGGCCGGATCCAGCGGGGCATCGCATTTCTCAAAAACGCAGTGCGGCATTTCCTCCAGAGCTTCTGCTTTGGTGGGGGCGGTAAGGCCTCTGGTCTGGCTGAGGAGAGCAAACCCCTTGATGAACTGCACAGCAATGGCAAGGGCAACTGCATCTCCAACCACACTTCAGTGGAGCTCACCAAAGATCCCAGTGGGGTGTACATGACAGAGGGCAATGGACGGCCAGGAGGAGGGCTGGTGGTTGGGGTCGTGGTTGGTGGGGACACTACAGGGAAGTACCCAATGGAGGAATGTGACTACATGTCATTTATTCATAACCCCAGCCTGACAGTCACGGTGCCCATCGCTGTGGGCGAGTCGGACTTTGAGAACCTAAACACAGAAGATTTCAGCAGCGACTCGTCGGATGTGGAGGGCAGCAAAGAGGTAAGATGCAAGACTTTGATAAGATGACTGACGTCACTGTCAGTTTGTAAGAAATATTTTGAGTCACACAGCTTTTGTATTAGATTAGCTCCTTTGTATGTGTAATAGCTAACACCCAACGCTGTCAGTCGATGTATGAATATATCAAGATTTGCATAGAGATGGCCTTTTCAGAAAATTTCCCAACAGTCAAGCAGTTTGAAAATAACATACCTGCTGACTCATTTGTACATTCATCAAGCTGTGCTACTGAGGGAATCTTCTGGAGTTAGACTCAGTCCTAAAGCTTTTGGCAGCTGAAGAAAGAGCCATGACAAATAATGACTCAAATTTGCCTTTGACTTATGTAGCAGGTTCACTTTCTCTCATTAGTGTACGTGTCAGTGTGTTTGTGTACAGTGTTAACATGGTTGACTTCCCAGCAAATGCAGTTCACTGTTATACACACCTGCTAAATAGACTGCTTAATTCATTGTTCCATGTTTCAGAGGAAGCAAATTAATAATACAGCAGTGTTTTTTGTAAAGAGGTGGTCTTAGCCTGCTCCATATGCTGATGACCAAAATAGATTATCGATGTACGTCATATAAAAATTTAAATGTTCTCCAATTTAAACACAACCAAATACTTGCATGGAAGACTTACATTTTTGTAATGTATTGCCTCTTCTAACAGAGCAAATGCCAGGGTTGCCAGGCTGATAGAGCATTGGGATTGTGCTCCCTGGTGATGTCAACCTGCCACTCTGGGTGTGGTGCCAATTCCCTGTGATTCAAAACAACCCAGGAGACTATTTCTAGCAATGGTACCACATGCTCCATATCTGGATCTGGCAGTGCTCTCTCACATCACTGCTGATCTTAACACCCTGTAGCCAGGGGTTGGTGAATAGTGATAATTAAGCACTGGTTAAAAGATATTTGGCATTTTTATCCACTCTGTCATATAGGTTGATCAAATTAGACTTAGTAAATATTCATTTATACATTAAGAATTACACAATGAACATTTGGCGTGTGCTGTTTGTATGTCTGTTGTGTGAGAAGTGTCAGTGTCATTGCCAGTATAAAAACAGCATCCCACTCTTTTACACTGCATCTAATAAGGAATATGCTTTCAGAGAAATGTAAATTGTTGTTCCCTGTGGCTAACGTGGCACTGTGCCTTACAGCTGAACAATGAAAGCAGACTTGAGGTTGTATACTGGCTTTTGGTGTGTTTGACTTACTTTGTTTAACCCCCCGTTTGTTATTGCAGCTGTGTCACAGACGCTCTCAAGGTTTTCAGTGAGAGGAGAATTGTAAGACCACTTTATTGTACCATAGCACTAACCATGAGGACTGCCTATGCCATTTACAGACAAACAACATATTTTTTCTCATACCTTCAATGGATTGCCCATTTTCGTTCTTTGCCTGGTCTGCCCTCCGTCCCCCACCCCCCTCACCCCACCCTCTTTGCTTTATACCTCCCTTTCCCCAAACAGCAGCACACTCAATGCTGTAATCTTTGAGTTTTCCCTCCCCCCATCCCCACCCCCCCCTTTCATAATGTATCTCCAAGCATCAGGCTGTATTGCAGTTACAAATCCATTAGGAATGACCAACACCACCTTTTCCATTAATAGACAAACTCATCTAACATAATCTTTGCTTTTGATTTCATTGCTTGGTTTTGACTTGGTTTTTGGACTTGGTTGGCATCCAACACTCCGAGCTTGAGAATGAAGGAAGACAGGAGGTGGACGAGAATGAGGGAAAAAAAAGATAGATGGAATGGAGGAATGAATTTTGCTTTAGTTTGACAAAATTCATTTGTCTGGTTCATAGCCTATGCATACACACATGGAATACTTGTATGTACTTGTTTTCTGTGATAGTCAAATAATAGTGGAATGATGAAAGATTCTTTACAGAATTCTTTCCAAGGAGATCATTGAAACCCAAATGAATCAATACTGATTTTTGCAGGGTGGCAAAACAGATAATACATGGCAGTTTATACTGAATCTGACTTATTTATGAAGTTCTAGATTTTCTTTCCTCCTCAAATATAAAATTGAAGAAACTCCTTAAATTACACTAAATCCTACCAGATATGGTGCATGTACACAATTATTGTACATTAGTTGTCCCCTCTTCTATGTGCTTCTACGCCTGTGTTATCCATTTTATTCCACTGCAAAAAATCTCGTCACCCAACAAGAAAATCTGCCAAATAGAAGCATGTCAGGTTAAGAGTAAAAGCCTCATATAATCCACGTCCAGAAGAGGTCAAATGGGTCTCTTGCTGAAGGAGAGAAGGAGAAACCGGAGGGAAACACACCTCCAGAAAACGATGCACTTGTGAGCAGCATGTTTCCATCATTCCCATGCCGTATTAGCTGGGTCCCACGGCAATCAGAGCTGCTGCACTGTCTAGGATGACATGTTCCTGTACTTCACACGCTAGACAGATCAGACATGAGGCCACATAACACCATGTTTGCCCAAAGAAAAACAGACAGGAAGCCTTACGACACCAAAAAGTCTCATTTTATGCAGATGATGCCGTAATATACAGAGATCACTGCATTTTAGGCTTTTAGAGGAGTGTTGCCAGGGATCAAAATTTAGAGTTAGCAAGGAAGACAGAGTGAAATAAACTTTACAACAGCAGCAACACTTGTCCTTACATGTGTTTTGCATATTGCTGAGAAGAAGGACAAAAATCGTTGAGTACCACATTTAGCCCTGTATGTTTTCTGGGTATGCATGGGTGCTAATTCAACATGTTTTTACAAATGGGAAAAAAAACTGCCATCCACATGCTGTCTTATAAACAGTGCACAGTACTGGTTTTTGCTGGTAAGCTAATGTGGTTCCGTCTACTTCAACACAAACAGAAGAAGCTTGTACACTGCTTTCAAGGAATGGAAATAACGTGTTTTCATGTCACTGAGAAAAATGTTCAGCAGCCCTTCTGTGGGTGGATTCTAGCTTTAAGGGTGCGGGAATTACTATTAATAGAAGCAGTTTTGAAAATGGGATAAATTATAGACACTGATTTGGGGGTCATTTTTCAGTTGACATGAAAATACATCAGCACACGTTCTGCTTGGTACTATTTCAGGCTTGGATTGATAATGCACTGGAATACTGCATGCACTATTCCTCGAACTGAGGTCACATCAAACGTACCCACAGTGCAGTTCCGTAACACCAACCTACCCATGACATGTGTTGCCACATAATCTGATTTAAGCCATCCGATAAAACTAATATCAAAGCCTGTAGGTACATTTGATCAATGCTGCATGTGATGATGACAATGAAGATGACTTTAAAGAGCCCAACTCTGTGAGCTATTACAGTGCCTAGTCTCCACACTAAGGTATACAGTTGTGGCACTGGAGTACATGTGAATGGAGAATCACAATGATAACCAGCTCAGAAGGTTGGCTCCTATAACCACTGAACCTCTGTCATTCCAGGCACTGCCGTGTAACTTTGTACTCTCATTTTCTTCCTCGTCCATGCAGAAGCTCGATGCAGAGCCGCAGCGTCTGAGCTCATCGGAGGGGAGCACAGTCGATATTCGCCCCCCAGGAGACGGCGTGGATTCGGTGGAGCTGGAGCCGGAGGAGTCACTGGACCCAGAGGCCTGCTTCACAGAGGGTGAGATGGATGTGAGGGTGATAGGCAGGGAGGATGATGGATAGTGGGAAAGTGGGACAAAGGGAGAAAGGTGGGAGATGAAATGCTCCCACAGCACATTTCAAGACGTAAAATAAATCGTATTAACTGCTTGTGCTTAGCAGTGTGTTATACTTACCTTTGAGTGACAGAGAATACAAATGCTCAGCAGAACAGAAAGAAAAGGAGTCTATGGGATTGTCTGTGTTTGTAATGTAACCTGACATTTAGTCTGACACAATTCTGAGTCTGCAAATACCTCTTCAGTTTTCCGTGTGTGGATTACAGGAATAAAATATGATTATCGGAAATGGGTGGTGTAGTATTTAACTTTTGTTAGTATCTAATTTTGATTATTATTTGGAGGTTTTGTTCATATTCTAGGCACCACTTTGCATCACAGCTTATTCCTGAAACCAGAATATACTTAAATTAGATTACAAGGTTGGAGTATGATCGTTACACCCTGTGCACCAAGACAATAAAAGTACCAAACAGAATTTTTAGAATGATGGCCTGGCAGAGGTGGAAAAGTTACAAATCAAACTTAAATAATTAAGCATAGAGGGTTTTGGTTTAATTGCATAAGCGCCTTTAGTCAAAATAAACCACATATTCATTCATGTGGTCATTTCGTATGCCTCTCTCCCTACATTTCCCCCACGCATGCAGGCTGTGTGAGCAGGTTCCAGTGCTGCCAGATCAATGAGGAGGGAGCAAAGTTTAAGAGCTGGTGGACACTCAGGAAAACCTGCTTTATCATAGTGGAGCACAACTGGTTTGAATCCTTCATCATATTCATGATCCTGCTCAGCAGTGGAGCGCTGGTAAGTGGGTGTTTCTGTGACCCAAAACCAATAATGAGTTATTATTATAATTATTAACAGCATGTTGGGTAAGTGCAAGAATCTCCCGGGTTTGGATCTCAGCTCTGGTCCTGTCTGTGCAGTGAGTTTGTATTTTCTCACTGTGATCACCTAGGTTGCCTTCAGGTGCTGTGGTTTCATTACACAGTCCAAAGGCAAGCAGGTTAGGTGAACTGAGGACTCTAAATTACCCCACACTCTGGGTGTGGTGCCAATTCCCTGTGATTCAAAACAACCCAGGAGACTATTTCTAGCAATGGTACTACATGTTCCATATCTGGATCTGGCAGTGCTCTCTCACATCACTGCTGATCTTAACACCCTGTAGGGTTGGTCAATTATGATAATGAAGCACGGGTTAAAAGATGTTTGGACATTTCCTACCCATGGTGTCATATAGTTTAAACAAATTAGAGTTAGTAAATATTAATTTACGCATTTAGAATTACACAATGAACATTTGGTGTGTGCTGTCTGTGTGAATATGTGTGCTGCCCTCTTCCCAGTCGTCCTGAAGGATTTATCAGCCTTAGGTCATGGCTAGTGCTCATTTTTCCACCAGCAGTCTTTATTATTTATTCGGTTCTGTGCAGGCGTTTGAGGACATTTACATTGAGCAGCGGAGGACCATCAAAACAATGCTGGAGTACGCCGACAAGGTCTTCACTTATATCTTCATCCTTGAAATGCTGTTAAAGTGGGTGGCATACGGCTTTGTCAAGTACTTCACCAACGCCTGGTGCTGGCTCGACTTCCTCATTGTTGACGTATGTATATTCGATCCACACGATTGAAAATAAAACTTCTAATTGGACATTAAATCAAAGACAATTTAGACTTTGAAGAATAGTGTGACATTTTGAGCAATACAAGTGGCATCAATCTTGTCTTGGCAAAAAAACATGTATTTCTCAACACATCGGCATATTCCTTTAATGGTTATCATACAGATATATATAGGTATATATACACCATTAAGTCCATCTGATGTTCACAGTTTTTAGACATAGCTCTGTCATTCATTTTTTAAAAACTGTTATGATTTATTATCTCTATAATTGTGTTCAGACTAATAATTAATGCCCAATTAATATCAAATACTCAAGCTGGCACTGTGCATAGGGAGTTGTTTCTTTCTCACCTTTCACCCTGCTTCTCTCTGTCATGATCTTCTCTCAGGTGTCCCTGGTCAGCCTTGTAGCCAATGCTCTGGGCTACTCTGAGCTTACCGCCATCAAATCTCTGAGGACACTGCGAGCCCTCCGGCCCCTGAGGGCCCTGTCTCGGTTTGAGGGCATGAGGGTAAGGACATCTGGAATAACAGCGACACGAAACCCACAATTATGAGTGTTTGTGGGCGAGCTGAAAGCCAGCATACCTGTGCAGTTTCTTCGATTAGCTGTTAATAATTTTATTCTCGCTTTAAACCACTAACTGCCTCAAATGCTTTCTTGCCAGGTTAGATGAGAAGATAGATGCCGCTCTCATGTCTGTACGCTAAATAGAATATAAAGCTAGAGTCAGATGAGGGTTAGCTTAGCTTAGCCTTAAAACTGGAAGCAAGGGGAAACATACACAAGATAGAACATGTTAGTGAGCTTTAGAGTTCTTCGTAGGTGAATTTAAAAATATATGACAAAGCCATGCTATGCTATGCTAAGCTAACTGTCTCTAGGCTGTAGCCTCATATTTGACAGATATAAGTGTGGTAAAAAATCTTCTCTAACTCTTGGCAATAAAGCAAATTCGTTTATCTAAAACTAATACATAGAAAATACATACATACATAAAAATATATTTTTCTGAATATTTTTCCAGCTACTTTCACAGAGCCCATACATTTCTTATATAAATATGTGTTGTCATTATTTTTATTTGTTGTAAAGCATTCTCAGTGTCTGCTTAGGGGTGCTGAAGGGACCTGTCACCGTATATTTTATATTTCCACTTTCAGTATCTCTAGATTGGTTAATGTTTGATGTTTGTTTAAACTGTATCTTGTTCCGGGGCCTGACTGAAAGCATGCATGCCTGTTACAACTGTAGAGTTATCTTTTCTTTGCAATTCAACACTGTACTTCTTCTATCTGCATGACTTTCTTCGCATTGTGTTAATGGATTACTGTATATAGCTGTTCTGACATTGCTTGTGTGGTGCCTTTGACCTGTAATTATTTTCTTTGTTGTGTGTCTTTTTTCATTTACAGTCAAACAAAATGTTGTGACTTCATCCCGCCTCGCTAAGGTTTTTTTCTGTTTTGCTTTTTACCTATCAAATGTTAACTTTTTCACCTGTCCACCTTCTTCTTTGCAACTGTCATGTTGTTAAATTCTCTTTATAGATATGTATGGTGTTAAGAGCTTTATGTGTGCAGACATTATTAAACACAGCTTTAGATAATATAGGAACACCGTATTATTAAATTAGTCTTGGCTCTTCTTAGCATCAGCTTTACAGCTCAATCAAATCAGGTTAAGAGTTAAGTGATTAGATGATTGTAATTGCCACTTATCTAAACTCAAACAGCCTCTCTATTTTGGCTAGCAGACCTCCGTTTGACCGACAGGAGAGTGCTGAGTTTGTCTGTGTGCTTCAACCTCTCCAGGTTGTGGTGAACGCGCTGCTGGGGGCCATCCCCTCCATCATGAACGTGCTGTTGGTGTGCCTCATCTTCTGGCTCATCTTTAGTATCATGGGTGTCAACCTGTTCGCGGGGAAGTACTATTACTGCGTCAACACCACCACAGATGAGACCTTCCCCATCGATGTTGTCAATAATAAGTCCGAATGCCTGAACTTGGTCAACGACAGCGCCCGCTGGAAGAATGTCAAAATCAACTTTGACAATGTCGGGGCCGGCTATTTGGCTCTGTTGCAAGTGGTGAGTTTAGTTATTGATGACACAGGCAGCATTATGATGACAAAAATGTAAAAGAAAGCTAGTTTTGTCATGAAACTGTCCTAATCATTGATCCTTTGCATTCACAATTTGACACTGCAGAGTGAGAAGAAAATATATACCGTCATATAAACCAGTCTTGCATAAAATGTAAATTAAATGAACCATCCGAAGTCACTCAAGAGAAGAGCGAAGACATCTTTTCCATCGAGAAAATCCTTCAGTGCTGTCCTTTGCTCTTCTTTTAGCGAAGAAATACTCTCCAGGTCTGATATAACTGATGCCAGCAGCATAAACACTAACCTCTTTTTTCCAGTGGCTTACAATAAATCTTGCAGCTTTAATGATCGGCACCATTACAAAAGACAGTTGGTTATGTTAAATGTGATGTAACTGTTCTATCCCCAAGCAGACAAAGTTTATGTTATAACCTCCACCATCCAGACTGACACATCTCTCATCTGCTCTCAGGCAACATTTAAGGGCTGGATGGATATCATGTACGCAGCTGTGGACTCTCGAAATGTAAGTGCTTTCACAAAGTGGAAAATAGCCATTTAGCTCATTTGTTTTCTGCATTATGGGATTGACATACACAGGTTATGAAGTTTTTTTTTTAAATATTTTGTTCTCTCTTGCTTGTTCTAGTTGGAAGACCAGCCTAAATATGAAGTGAACCTGTACATGTACCTCTACTTTGTCATCTTCATCATCTTTGGCTCCTTCTTCACCCTCAACCTGTTCATCGGCGTCATCATCGACAACTTCAACCAGCAGAAGAAGAAGATAAGTTGCATTTAGTAACAGTCTCTATCAGATCAAGTAAACGTAGATTGTGAAATGTTCTATAGACTTCTTAGCAGAGATGGGTCAGTTTTTTATGGATGCAATAATATTTCAAAGTAAAACTGAAATCCCAGGAAATCCCCGGTTATTGGTTCAACCCCGCCAGCTGTTATTAATGTTGACACTCACAGCCAATGGATGTTTCAGTGGAGCACCAACGGACACCACTCCAAGCACAGTCTGGGTCCAGAGCAGACCCGGCTGCGTTAAAGAAAGAACGGAACTACAGAATAATGATAATCTGTAGCACAGCAAGGACCTGCTGCTGCCAAGGATTACTGAGAGTGCATGAGTCACTGAGAAGCACCGTGCCTGCATTCACACACACACACACACACACACACACACACACACATATATATTGTCAGGGTGAATGTAGTCTGGAAATGTGCCCTCCATTCAACCAAGCACTAACATGTAGGATTGTCAACGCCCAGGAGAGGGAGGAGGAGAGGGTGAGGGTTGGGGACGGGGTTTGCACTGTGTTTGCTGCGTGCTGGCAGGTCTGACTTGACTGACTGACTGAGACACTGTATCAGTTGGTGCGGCTCAGCGGCCCCCACGGGCACAGCGTCACACAGATGGTTGTCGAGTGTTGACACCAGTCCTCCCTCCAGACACGCATCATACAGCGAGTGAGCCCAGAGTGTGATGTGTGCCTCGCGTAGGATAGCGTGAGGGGGATTCATGTCTTCTGTTAATGAGACCATAGAGACCGCGTTGACGCCATCAAATTAAAAAGGGTTAAAAATAAAGAATTAACAAAAAGTAATACAACGAATGTAGAAAAAAACACTGCATGACTTTACAAAAAAGGGAATGGGGGGATTTTCCTGCAGGTGTGATTGTTTTCTGTTGATTGGTGATGTGTCCTTTAAAAAGAGAGCTTGCTGCTGTCAGGCATGCTCTGATGAAGGCTTCGTGCCGAAATGCGTCAGCAGTTTTGTGCGCCTATTGATCTAAAATCAATATACATAAAAGAATAAGGTAATCCTTCTGCTGGTTCTGGTTCTGCCCTGTGAACTGCTGCCTTTATTCTTCACTTAGTTTTTTGGGAAATACAGACGTTGCTGTTTTTTTCTTTGTTGTTTTTTATTAGACAGAGCACCCAACTGATCTTCTGTGCAGGAGAGGCACACCTGTTTCCTCTTACAAATTGATTTTTGATTGGTTTTGGTGAACTGACCGTATGGGGTTGCAAGAAAACGAGACAGCAACAACAACCAAAATGGCCTCTTGACAGATCATAATATATAGTTCCACAAATGCAAATAAGACGTAATTTACTTTGCAGAAGTGTCCTATAGGAGGGATAGAGGGTTCTCTGTCTTAGGTGTCATATATTTTCTAAGGACTCAACATTTTACCTTCAAACGATTTTTAATTGAATTTTCCTGCAGACTGATGATTCTGTTATATTCTCTGTGAAGCTTCTGATTTCATTAGAAACATTAAAGACCTAGTGTACTTCAAAGGCATTAATCCAGACTGAAATATATGAAGGACTGGTTGTTAACTTTGCTTTTTTTTTTTTTTTACGTAAAAGAACGTGGTTATAACCAAGTTTTCTTTTCCTCCCTTTACTTTGGAGGCCAGGACATCTTCATGACAGAAGAACAGAAGAAATACTACAATGCCATGAAGAAGCTGGGCTCCAAGAAACCACAGAAACCTATACCTCGGCCTACAGTAAGCTTCTACATGCTCACACTGTGCGCTTTATTCTGTCTATTCTACACTTAGAGGTGTGAAATGATCACTGCTCTCTTGTCCTCTGTGCTTCCCAGAATGCATTTCAAGGCTGCGTGTTCGACTGCATCACAAAGCAGGCCTTTGACATCGTGATCATGATCCTCATCTGCCTTAACATGGTGACCATGATGGTGGAGACAGATGACCAGACGCCAGATATGGACAAAATCCTCTACTGGATCAACCTGGTCTTCATCGTGCTCTTCACCGGGGAGTGTGTGCTGAAGATGATCTCTCTGCGTCACTATTACTTCACCATTGGTTGGAATATATTTGACTTTGTGGTGGTGATCCTGTCCATCGTAGGTGAGGAAAAGTTTAAGGTACCTCAGCTTTCCAGTACTACTACTGAGTGAAAATGTGTCCTGAATGTCTTTTTTTTTTTTTTTTGCTTTTGCAGGCATGTTTTTATCTGAAGTTATCGAGAAGTACTTTGTGTCCCCAACACTGTTCCGAGTGATCCGCCTGGCCAGGATAGGCCGCATCCTCCGCCTTATCAAAGGTGCCAAAGGCATCCGGACGCTCCTCTTTGCCTTGATGATGTCTCTCCCTGCCCTATTCAACATCGGCCTCCTCCTCTTCTTGGTCATGTTCATCTACGCCATCTTTGGCATGTCGAACTTTGCCTACGTGAAGCGGGAGGCCGGAATCGATGACATGTTCAATTTCGAGACCTTCGGGAACAGCATGATCTGTTTGTTTCAGATTACCACCTCAGCCGGGTGGGACAGCCTGCTGGCGCCCATACTGAACAAGAGAGAGCCCGACTGTGACAGCCAGATGGAGCACCCGGGAAACTATTACAAAGGCAACTGTGGCAACCCGTCAGTGGGCATCTTCTTCTTCGTCAGCTACATCATCATCTGCTTCCTCATTGTGGTCAACATGTACATCGCCGTCATCCTGGAGAACTTCAGCGTGGCCACAGAGGAGAGCGCCGAGCCGCTGAGCGAGGACGACTTTGAGATGTTCTACGAAGTGTGGGAGCGCTTCGATCCTGACGCCACTCAGTTCATGGAGTACAGCAAGCTCTCTGTCTTTGCAGACGCTCTCGATCCACCGCTGCGCATGCCCAAGCCGAATATGATCCAGCTCATCTCCATGGACCTGCCGATGGTGAGTGGCGAGCGCATCCACTGCCTCGACATCCTGTTCGCCTTCACCAAGCGAGTGTTGGGCGAGGGCGGCGAAATGGACGTGTTACGCGGGCAGATGGAGGAGCGCTTCATGGCGTCTAACCCCTCTAAGGTGTCTTACGAGCCCATCACCACTACGCTCCGCCGCAAACAGGAGGACATGTCGGCCAAAATCATCCAGAGAGCCTTCCGCCACTACATGATCCGCCTGGCCATGAAGAAGGCCTCCGCCCTCTACAAGGAGAAGCTGAAGGAGGGAATCCGCGACCCTGACAAGGACGTGATGGTCATCAGCAAGTTCACCGAGAACTCTACTTCGGACAAAACAGACATGACCCCCTCCACAGCCTCCCCGCCTTCTTACAATAGTGTGACGAAATCGGACAAGGACAAATACGAGAAAGAAAACAGGGAAAAGGAGAACAAAGGGAAAGACTTGAAAGACAGAAAGAAATAGACTTTTTAAAAAGGAACAAAAAATCAAAAAAATGCATCAGAGACATGAGGGAAATTTGTTTACAGCTTCTAAAGGGGGTAGATAGACGTACGCTTGTGTGTTGATTGTTCCGAGGAATGCTACGCCAGGTAGGCCTAAAATTGGAGTGCGGTTATGTCATATGTGAATACATGGGGGTCTTTCTCAGCGGGGAAATATGGAATCAAATTATCCAGCAGACACTGCCAGAGATTGACTGGAACATGGAAAAGCCTCTCTGCAAAACGCTTGTGATTTTCCTATTGGTTGTTGTTACTATCTGACACACTTGAGTGTACTGTTAAGTTGTCTGTAGCTAGTGCTGCTGCTACTACTATAAATCCAGTGTCTTGAATTTAACAATCGCTGTATCACTTAACAAGTACTCTGCATTTTTTTTTTTTTTTTTTTTTTTTGTTACAAGGTTTCCTTTTTTAATGAGAAAGAATGTTTTCTACTTTTTTGTGTCATTATCGTGAGAATGTGTCCACTGCTTTCACTGTTGTAAAATCACCAAGGGCAGACAAAGACAATGCTGGAAACTACAACAACCATCTGAAACTCGTACAATGCAGGGTCAGTGCCAGAATGCTCTCGATTCATACAGTATACGAAGTGCTGAAGTGCAATGGACAAATACATTCTACTCACTGGTGTGCCATCAGTGATTGTTGAAACCTGTATTGTGCTTCTAGCTGGACTGCCATCTCCCCCCGTTTCAGTAGAAAAATACAAGTCTCTAAATACAGAGAAGCTGAATGTATGCAAGGACTGAGGCACGTTTAAAGCGACTGTTTGACATTTTGGGAAATATTCTTGGAGGCTTTTTTGCGGAGAGTTCGATGAGAAGGTTGACGCCACTCTCACGTCTGTCCTTTAAATATGAAGCTAGAGCCAGAAAACTGTTAGCTGAAAGGACCAGTGTGTTTGTCCATTCTGGGCTACTGTAGAAACATGGTCGATGAAAGAGGATCTGCTCCCTGTGTAGATAAAAAGGTCTTATTCTAAGATAACAAAAGCACAACCAATCTTTTTTTCATGTGATTGTACACTAATGAAAACATACCTATGAATATTATATTCTATTTCTGCCACTAGATCCTCCTACATGTGACACACTGGACCTTTAACTGAGCAGAAAGACTGGAAGCAGGGGCTCACTCCAAGCTCAACAACCCACCTACCAGCACCTTTAAATCAAATCCTTTCAAATCCCCTTATCCTATAACTTCAGCTCAAAGATTCAGGTTAGATCTGTGATCTGCCAGAAAGACTACTTTTTAGTGGTAGCTACTAAATTAATCAACATTAACATTAATGAAGCTAGCGTTATTCATTTTCATGACCCGTAAGCTTCAACTTAAAAATGAGATGTGCAGCAGAAGAAAAAAGTTTGTTGTTAGTAAGATAATAAACTTCCAGAGCCATTCTCAAAAAAAGTTGAGTAAATGTCCGGATCTCCTGTAATAAAAGACGTGGAGTACGTATTTGGTAACATTAGCTTAGAGAGGAACAGAGACTGTACTTAATGTGGATTGGTGATGTCAGTTTATATGCGTACATCCCATGTGAGTTTGAGCCTGTTTCCCCCTGCTCCCAGTCTCAAGCTAAACTAAGCTAAGCTCATCTACTCCAAAAACACTGGACACGTGAATGACGTCAATCTCCTCATCTTACCCCTTTCCCAGAATGTCAGGACTATTACTTTAAAGCGACACTCATATCTACTTTTTTCCTCCGCTGTCGTATTGCAGTGTCTCTTCTAAAGCATTTGTTATCCTCCCCCTTCCCCAATCCTCCATCCCCCGCCCCCCTCCCAGAGCTCTTGTAAAGAAAATATCTTAAATAATGAAATATACTTAAAAGAAAAATGTCGATCTTTCTGACTCCTGTCAAGTTAGGACATGACAATATATCACATTTAAAGGTTATAATATCACATATGTTTGTATGACATCCATGTTGTTCTTGGTTTAAATTGAGCAGCGAGTGGTTTTAATGTAGTGGTTTGGATTGTAAATAATATAGCTGTTCGGGCCCACAGTATGCATCACACTTACATTTGATGTAAGAGCACTTTTTATCCCCACTGCTATGTAATTCCACGTGTGGCGTTCCTACATGTAAGTGCGTGAGAGAGAAAAGCGTGTCTGTACTCGTGCATTTATGTGATTGCGAGAGAGGGAAGCCAGAATGTGAGCATCTATCTCTTTGTGCGAGCGAGCGTGCATCTGGCATCTGCAGGTTGTTTGTGTTCTACCGATTATAAATAACATTTTTACTGTAGATATGAGTGCATTTTTCCAGTCTTCAGATTTGATTTACATTTTTTCTAGAACTTTGTTTTTTTGTTTTTTTCCTTTCTGCACTGTAACACATGATGAAACACATGTATGGTCCCTCATATCTGTAGATACAAACCATGAAGCAATCAGTAGCCATCTCTCATTGCGCTTGTAGTGTTTTAGTGAACTGCATGCAAGAAGTGACTACTGTCCGCTCATATGGTAATATCATTTTAAAGCCAAAAGAATAAAGGACATATTTTTTGTAAATGCTTGTTTATTTTCTCCATTTCCTTTACAGCCTTTTCTGTGTTCAGTGGCTTCATAAGTTTTTTTTCCCACCTGTGGGTGACATCCGGTCTTTGGTCTGTGATCTGAACCTGACGTATGATTGCTGAACATGGCGGGAACTTTGGTTGAACAGGATCATTCATGTGGTTCAAGTACATGTTACACTAAACTATGTATCAATTTGCAAAATGTGACAATTGACCTTTTTTTTTTGTTATAACCAAAGATGTGGCAACAAAACTCAAAATCTAGATTTCCAAAATAAAAGCCTATTTTGGGAAGCATATTTTGCATGCAGGGTGCGTTCATTGTGAGGTGAGAGCGGAGAGGCGGCGAGAGGCTCAGCATATTCAATGAGGTTTAAACAGATACTTAGCTGCCGAGATGATGCTCTGTCTTCAGCCTGAGGATAATGTATTGGATATTGACGGCGGAGAATCCCGAGGGAAAACTGGGCCAGTAAACCCTGCCAGAAGGTGAAACTGAGCAACACGGGTGAATGTTTTCTATAAGCTTGATGCACGTTGTTGTATTTAAATTCAACTAGAATGCTAACTGTATGTCAAGGGCAAAATATGTAAAAGTCAAGTATGGTTAAACACGTACTAGCATCACTTATGGCTGCACAATTAATCAAAACATTATGGAAATTGCAATATCACTGAAGCTGCAATTATTGTAATTAAATACTGTAGTAGTAGAGATCCACTGGCCTACAAATCCTTTTTTCCAAATTTAAGAGATTTGTTTGTTTGATACAGACCCCAAAAGATTTCACATCATCATGATTTTAATTGTTTTTTTGATTAAAATAAAATTTGTGAAGCAAAAAGGATAATCTCACACGAATCATGAATCAGTCACAATTTTCTGTTCGTCAAAATAATTCCAATATTATGTTTTTACTTTATCGTGCAGCCCTGGTATCACTTTATTTATTTATATAGATTCTTAGTAAATGTTTTTTAACACAAATACATTACAGTGTTTTACAAACACTTTTACAAACATTTGTAGGCAAATAAAAGGCCATTATTTAGTGTTAATGAAGGTATTTCTCACGTGAAGCAGTTGGAACTGGTGTAAAACACCATATATACCGTATATAATTACATACAAACAAATCTCAATCTACTAAATATTCTTAATTCAAGATCCACTTACTAGAGTTCTTTTATTGCTTTCAGTTGCATCTCATGAGCTTCATCAGCCGATTGTGTTTGTTACGTTGTCACGAGTGTAAGATAGTACATAATGTAGGCTTAAGACATTCCTCTTTGATAAAGCTTATAGTTAGGGCTGGATCAGGTGAGTCCTGAACCATCCCTTAGTTATGCTGCTATAGGCCTAGACTATCGGGAGATTTCCCATGGTGCACTGAGCTACTCTCTTCCTCTCTCTTTCTGCACTCATTCATGTCCCTTTAATGCATGTTACTAACTCCACTTCTTCCCCGGAGTTCTTGTGCTTTTGTCTCGCAGGTTCTCTGGATCCTGGTGGAGCCTCCTGCCATGGTCCTGCTTGACTGCCATTGCCAATACTGTTGTTGCTGTGCACCTTCTGTCTGTCTGTCGTTTTTCTCTCTCTCTCTCTCTCTCTCTCTCACCCCAACTGGTCAGACAGACGACCACCCACCTAGAGCCGGAGGATCTGTCCTGGTTTCTGCCTTTTAACAGGCAGTTTTCCTTCCCTTGTGCCAGTGCTTGCTCTGGTGTACTTTGGGTCTCTGTATTAATGTTAAAGAGTTCGGTCTAGACCTGCTCTATTTGAAAAGTGTCCTGAGATAACTTCTGTTATGAATTGGCGCTATACAAATAAAATTATTGAATTGAATTGAATAATTATAAATATAATGTATAATGTAATTTGTAAATACAATAAATCAATATTTCATATTAAAATGAAGACATTTTATATGATTATTGTTATTATTAATTAGTGTAATATTGTCTGTCATTCATTTACTGTTTATACACCAGTTACATATGCAATATCTAAAAATAAATAAACACTTGAAATTGCCTCTACTAATAACCACTGTATAATGTGCTATAAACATTTATTTATTATTTAAATACTGCTTATCAAAGCTAAATATGGGGATTCAAATAAATTCCAAAATTGTGTTTCTGCATAGTTGTAAGTTGCATAAAAACATTGTCACTGCATTTGTTAAATAACAGAATTTACAGATTTATTCGACAAATAAATGTAACTCAGTATCCTCTTATAGGATTTCTTCCTGACTGATGAAGACCACACAAGATGTGGCTGGAAGCTCTGGGAGAATAAGAGTAAGTGGACTTGGAGCTGGATCTCTGTCTCTGTCTTTGTCTCTCAATCCCATTTAGACGCCCACTCAGAGCCGGGGTCTGCTCAAGGTTTCTGCCCCTTCAAAGGATGCTTTTTTCCTTGCCACTGTCCCCAAGTGCTTGCTCGTATAGGGGATTGTTGGGTCTCTGTAAATAATGTTAATGTTGAACGTCATATGATGTTAGAATAAGCTAAAATAACAATCTATTTGTCCTTTAAAGGCGCTATATCTGCAGAGTTATGAACAATATATTCAGTATTCAACCTATTCAGCGTCTGCCCAGTGCAATATGGTCACACACAACAGTTACCATCATGTAGGATCGAGTCCCATCGACCACAGGAGCCAGACAGCCACACACAGGGAGAAGAAGGTGGTGCTGTTGGGATAGACGGGAGGGTGAGACAGAGGTGAAAAGCTGAGACTACCCCCACCCGGCAGCCCCCTCCAAACCCTTTGCCTCGCTTCTCCCTTCCTGTTGCCTGGCAACCTAACATTACGGCCCTGTGATTGATCAGCAGCATCTCTGAGCTTGCTTACCCACAATACCTTGCCCTCTGAAAGCAAGCAGGCATTCCCTCTTCCACCCCCACACGCACACCTTACCGGTTTGATTATGTAAGGGAAAGGGGAGAGGTTGAGGGATGACCTTGTGTTCCTAATGAAGTCCTACGTACAGGCCATGCTGTACACACTGGCACTGAGGATCATAAAGGACTACTGAACGTACGTCTAGTCTCCATTGTGTCCGGCACCTGCTGCTGGGACTGTTCTGTGGTTATGCAATGAGCCATGAAAATATTTCTATACATGAATAGGCCCGTGGATGAGGTAGGAACACAGAGCTTCCTCTTGCCCCCCGTCTGATCTCCGCCGTGCAGTGCTCTCTAGAGGCTGCAGGGCCTAACAAACTCAAACTGGAAGCACTGGTAGGGCACATGAACGAGAGTGGGACAGCAGGGTGACACAGCAGTTGAGACACGTCATCCTACGTCCAGAAAGGTGTGAGCTGACGTCAAAGTGTCCCGGAAGCGTCGGCTTGTGTGCACTTTTTGTTGTTTTTTTGTTCTCAGTGAGTAAAAAACTGATTTAAATAAATGTCTGTTTGCTGACAGAGGACAGATGTTTTCGAGCAAAGCCAATGTCACAGATTGTCCTGAGGCAAAAGAACCATGTAATCAACAAATTTACTGACGTCAGAAAAAAAAAAGATTGAACCCCCTCATGTTGGAGGATGTCAGTGACAAGAAAGAGGAGATCAGTTGTTAAGCCACAGATGCCATCTGCTGGTAGAAAACTAGAATACTCTGAGAAATAGACATGTTGGTCAAGAGATTGTTTTATTTATCTGCATCTTTTGAAAGTCCATTTTATGAAGAAAAAAAATCAATTAACCACCTTTAGACTGAGATGGATGTCAAAAAGTGTTTTATTCACACACTCATGGAAATGTACAGTTGTTTTAAAAAGAACATGAAATATATTTGGCCCCCAGGTTTGGCAGTATTAAGAGACAAGGGTAATAACTCCAACATAAGCCTCATCTGAAAACTGAAAGAAAAAAAGTGCACTTTTGTATCGCACGTGACTATAAAATGATAAATATAACATGCATGGATGGGTTTTACTCTAATCTTGCTAAACGCTTCGGCCCACATTTGTTCTATTAACAGCAAAAAGACAGTGGTAGTGATGTTACTGAGAGAAACAACAGACACATAAAGTGAGAAATTACAATTACTTTTTAAAACCTTTTTGAAAAGCTTAGATTTGTGGTGAAGATACTATGACAAATAATAATTATGAATTATTAATTCATTAATCACTATCGAGATGGTCGTGATTTGGCATAATGTTCCTTCATCCTGTAGTAGAGGAGACTGTGTTGGCAGCATTTTAAAATGTTCACAATACTTTATCATTTACATGTTAATAACTACACGAAGGTTGAACCATTACTAAACAAACAAGATGAGTCCACAGTAATGCTAGTGGCTGCTGTGCTTTGAGCTAAATGCTAATGTCAGCATGTTCACAATGACAGCATTTGCTAACTAGCCCTTAACACAAAGTACAGCTGAGGTCAAATGTCATTAGCATTTTGCATTTGCAGGTATTTGGTCATTAAGTGTTGGAACTTGGTGTACTTTTTGTGCGACTTGGAAGGCGTCAGAAAGAAGCTGTAGACACAATACAGACATATTGGAAGTTGGTACAGCTAACACGTTTGCAAACAGGCGCCTATTTAAACATCCAGCAGACACAGAGCAGCAGAAGCATTCATTTGGAGTCGTGTTTCTGAGTGTAAATCCAATATTAACTCTCTTTTAGCTTTGCTTCGCTCTCCACCGACTCCTGAGGGAAATATCTGGCTCTTTAGCTGCTAAATGCTTCACTCTTCACTAGCAAGCTTTGTCTGCCTTCTGGTAAAAGGCCAGGTAGAGTATAGTGGGTTTTATCAGGGATTTTCCACCTGAAAAGCCTTAAAACAAAGCTATGAGCGCAGTGCGAGTGAATCCAAATCATAAAGTTTACACACCAGACAACCAAAACAATGAGCTGAAAGAAGCTAAAAGACTCTACTAGTAACTCCTTTCCATTGTTAATGTAAAAAAGGAACAAAAAAGACCTTTAGAATGAATTATAACAGATTTATGTTCTTTTTTTAAAACCATTTTACAGTTTGTGTTAAGCCTTGAAACATCTTAGTTAAACTGAACACATGCTATACAGACAGGCATTTAAGAACGATTAGCAGCAACGATGAGACACCAGCACAATGGTTAATACTGAAACAATACAAGCACCTCAAAATCTTGATTCGTCATAGATGCCAGTCACAACCACTAAACATGCTGTAATGATCAAAGACTTTATAACAGGGCATAAATTATGCAAGTAACGTCCAGAAACACTGTTTTATTGAGCTTTTTCATTGTAGTTTCATAGTCTAACAATCTTAGAGAGGTCTAGAGACAAACTGAGCTAAAATTAGATCACCTCTCTGGGCCTGTGTCTGTGTGACTCATTCTCTCTTTGGAAGTGCACTTATCAAGAATAAATCAAACTCTGATGGTTGAAGGTCACAATTCTTGAAGAAAGATTTTCCAAATATTAACTGATCCCTCTCTGAAGCATTTTAATCATCAGGTACTGCCTGAGCGTGACGTGTTTGTTGTTTGGTCAGCGTCTCCCTGCACTGGCAGTCCTGGTTGCTCCTGCATCGGCTCCCTGATTTCCTCCTCTGTCTGCTCCACAGATCCCGCCGGAGCCTCAGTCTGTGAGTCATGATGGTCTGGATTGTTCTGGAGGTCTGTCGAGAGCTGCCGTTCGGCGGATGCACCAGCGGGGGCAGTGTTACTCTCACGGGTGTCTACATGTGAGCAAGTTTGGAGAGTCAGGGACTCTGTGGGGTCGTGGAAATGGCAGGGAATGCTCTGCTGCTCTGTCTGGCAGTGGAGTTCTGTGTTTATGTCAGACTCTAATGCGGTCTCTACTGTGGGGAGAGTGGGGGCGCCGCTGACATTTTCTCTGAGAAACGCAGGAGTGTCATTCACAGAGCTGTCTATCTGATAATGCTGCATGGGGGGAGTGTTGTGGAAGGGGTTACTGAGACTCATGAGTGTGTTATTAGAGTAACTCAGCACAGAAGGAAGTGGAACCGAGTAGGGCGGGGGACCCGTTCCGTGCAACGAGCAATCCCAATTTTCCTTCTCTTCCTCTTCTTCCTCCTCATCATCATCATCGTCTTCCTCATCCTCCTCGTCCTCCTCTCCGTCCTCGGGGTCGATTGTTTCCAAGCTGTGCGTGCTGCAGTCCGACAGCCCGCTGCAAACACTGCTCCCATCCTCATCTTCCTCGTAAGCTTCATCATCCTCATCCTCTTCATCTTCTTCGTCGTCGTCGTCATCGTCGTCGTCGTCGTCCTCTTCTTCTTCTTCCTCTTCCTCTTCTTCATCTAGATGCGAATCCGTGTCGACTGTGTTCTGGAGGTGCATGATGGGAATGTGCGGCGCGCCACTCATCAGTGGAAACTGAAGGTTCGGCTGCTGCTGCTGCTGCTGGACCAAGGAGGAGTCGCCATGGTAACCGTTGCCATTGGTTACAAGCTGCTGCTCCGGCTGCTGCTGATGATGCTGCTGCTGCTCCTCGCGGCTCTTCTCCAGCTCCAGCTTCATGATGGTGTGGAGGAAGTGGGTGCGCACCCTGACCGGGTTGAACTCCAGGCGTCCCGTGGTGTTGCTGCAGCCTTCTTTGGTGCAGCCACAAGGGAAGGACATGCGGTCCACCTGAGGAAGAAAAATACATAAATTAAACCCACCAGTGTGGAACAATAGTAAAAGAAAAGGCAAATTAAGCTGCCAATCATAGCTGGGTGTTATATGTATACAGTTACACACCTTATTGTTGTAGAAATTCATAAATACCTTTGAAAATCTTGGCTTAAGTTCAATTAGAGGGTTACATTATCTTCTATGCTTAGAAAAATAAAAAATTATTTGGCTTAAAAATTCCTCCCAAACCTTGAGGATAAATTCAATAATGCATGATGCATAAAAAACAAGGCTGCTTCTGAATTTCTTTTTTAAAACATCAGGTTTTCACCAGACAAATGCTGTAAGATGAGAAGTGTTGTGCACAGAAGCTGTCAGATTTCAGAGGGAGGGCACTGTAGGCTCGAGGCCCCCTGGGAAGTAGTAGTTGGAACTACTTACTGTATTCTTAAACGCTTTAAAGTAAAACTGGCAAACTCCCAGACAAAAAAAACTCAAAGCATTGAGCAGTTGTGTAACCTCAAAACTCTTTATGTTACTCTCTGATTTGGATCCAGACTTTGTGTAGAGTCCCTTAGGAAGTGCTCAAATCTCAGATGGGCCCCCACCTGCTTAACTGCCTGTGTGTCTGTTGTAAACAAGAATCTACAGTACCAGGATTTTTAATTTCAACTTTAAAGAAGTTCTACTGCACAGACAGACACGAACAACACTTTAGTATTATAGATGGGCCTCACCACAGTTCCATTTACCTGGCACTTAATGCCGGCCAGGCTGCAAGCACAGGTCTCTGGGTCGCATATCCCCCTGCAGCGGCACCCACACTCCTCTCGGGACATTCGGAGGGCACGCAGCTCGTGCTTCTCCTCCACGTCAATGCGTCTGACCCCAGAGGAGCGGAGAAGGGCGCGGCGCCGCCTGGTAGTCAGAGGCTGGAGGAAGAAGTAATCATCCACCTCTGTGTTGTCCACATCTAGGTCATCTTCGGAGATGTCATCAAGTGTCAGGGTATCCGCCTCCATGGATGACACGGTGCCATTCTTAGTCAGCTAGAGGGCAGAAAAAGTGGTTTAAATTAAGACTGGACCATAAATCTGTGACTAGACATACATTTAGACCCTCAGGATAATTATATGAGAAACAAATACTGGCAATAAAACATGCAGAATATGTTATTAATGCCCTGAAAACAGGAGCAATAACTATTTTTATATTTGAAAGTCAACAATCCTCCAACAATTCCACTACACTGCAGGTAAAAGAGGTTTTATTGAGCCCACTGACTTTGAGTTTGATGGCATTGAGTTTTTCCTCTTTGAGATGATCCCTCAGCATGTTCCAATGGCTCTGTTTCTGCTCCATGGCAAACTCCCTGAGGGTGAAGCGCTTCACCCCGCTGTGACGTGGTGACATCCCCAGGGTGCTGCCACCCTGTGTGGGCACAGTGGTAAAGCCCTGCCGCCTGTTGAAGTAATAAACGGTCACACTCTCAAAGTGCACGTTGCGGCCCCGCAGTCGCTTTGACTGCTGCTGGAGAGTGGCTGAGATTGAGACAGAGAGGTGGGGAACATAATTAGAGAAAAAAACTAATTTTAACTAATTCTTAGAAAACGCTATTAGGGGCATGTTCAAGTGGGACTTTTGCTTAAGAGTGGTCATGACTAAATGTTAGAATATAGTGTGACAGTCAACAAACTGGCAAAGCAATATCTGTTATACAGCAATACTGATTTAAAGTTTGTTAATTAGCCACTATAAGGTACTGTTATACAATGTTCATGTGATGATAACAATAAACTTAATGTTATATAGCATTATAACACAGTTACAATGTGCTTTACAGTAAAAACAAGAAATCAAAATAGAGAACATTTGTAAAATCAACATAGTAGAAATGATGAAACTAATACAAAGTACAACAGAGTTCAAAAGCTGGGTAAAATTACAAAAAAAGCCCCTCCAGTCGCAGTCCAAGAAGTGGGTTACATTAGCAGTCTTATTAGCAGTGCTACTGGTTCTTTGGGTGACATACAGCTGTGTGTCATCAGGGTAGAGCGGGATTTTAACGTGAAATATCCATAATATGTGACTCAAAGGCAACATAGAACAATGGTGGTCCCAAAATATATCCTTGGGGTACACCACAGGTGAAGAGGGGCTGGAATGGAAGAGGCCCTCAATCTAACAACATCAGAGAAACTGCCACTGGTAAGGTAGGAACAAGATGAGTTGAGAGCCATGTCCTTAAATAAAATGTTGTCTTGTCAAGTAAGATGAAAAGCAGGAGCAGCAACTAGAGTCAGATTCAAGGTCTAAATTATTGACAACAATAATAACAGCAGTTGTGGAGCTATCAAACGGATATCCTTGTTGCTGTTGAATTAGGGTGAGCTCTTTATAGAAACATGTATATTCTTTATACTCAGCTCTGTTGGAACATTTTCTCTACGGCCAAAGATTTTGACTGATTGATTTATTACATGCAAAACAGCCTATTGCTGGTGCATATTGTCATAAGTAATAAGTATACATCTCAGTGTTCTTGTTGAAATACTGTTTACATGTGACCTCAAGTGTTTCCTGTGCTTTGCACCAAAACATACGAGCTAGAGCTGCTGACAGGAGCAGTGCGGTAATGTGAGCTTACAGTCCAGCAGTCCAGAGGGGACGGGATGGTTGAGACTATCACTGCTGTTGCCACTGTCGCTGCAGGAAACCTCATCATCATCAGACCCCTGCAGGGACAGGTAAGGGGACGGACCCTCCTCAAGCTTCCTCTTCAGGATCCCACTCATCGTGTGGCTCCTCCCACTGGTTGCACCTGCACAAAGGACAGGGGGCAGAGTTTATGGCTGATTATACAGTGTATGTAACACAGATACATATTGTGCAGCAGTCTAAATAAGAAGACTTCATAATCAGTAAAATAAATTAAAATATGGAAATGGATTTCATGTTTAAAAGGGTGGGAAAGTTGCTGTAAAAATGTAATCCATTACAGTTACTAATTACCTGTTTAAAAATTGAAGTCAATAACCTTATCCAAGTATGCCAATGTTAAAGCAACTTAACTTTATTACTTTCCCTTACTTTTGGACAAAATATGCAAATAAAAACAAGAGGAAAGAAATGTCAATAAGAAGTATTTGATGCAAGTGTATTTCATAAGAACAATGTGACCAATGGAAATTAAAATTTTAATTTAATTAAATTTAAACGTTTTTTAGCATCAACAATGTGTCCTCTGCTCGGTGTATTTCTAAGAAAAACTGATGGTGCTGAAAGCTGCTAAATAATCCCCATTTTTACTAAATGTAACTGTAATCTGATTACAACTTTTTCTGTAACTGTAATGGATTACAGCTATTTTTGTATCCTGATAACTCAGTTACATGTAATCAATTACTCCCCAAGCCAGTCTAAAAAATATGGTTTATGTTGTACAATAAATAATTCTTAAGTTTAATTAAAAACGCGTATGAAGATATGTTTTATTTATTTATAATAGCGTCTAATGGAGCTCTCTCATTGGTCGATGTCTGACACGAGGGAAGATCAGGAGGTGTTGGGGCGAGCGAGACAGAAAGAGATAAAGTCTGGAGAAGTGCGTTAGCTTTGCTTAAACAAGGAAAGTTAAACATTTAACGTTCATACCAAACCTTTTTTTTTATAAATCCTGGACAGTCAACGCGATATTCTGTGACGGGATTTGGTGTAAAAGAGTCCAACATGGAGGTTTTTTTAAGCTGTTTCACTCGGTAGCTAGCGAGCTATTGGCTAACAGTTACAGTGTATCCATTAGCACAGCGAGAGGCTGCTATTAAGCGAACAAAGCTAACCAGAGTTGCAACATTTTTAACAAAGAGATGCTGAGGAAACCAGAAAGTACCTCAGTCCCCGTCGGAAGGACGCAGGAGGCCGGTCTCTGTCTGTCTCCACCTGGCTATGGACATGGACACCTCACAACCCCACAGAACTGCACCAGCTACCAGGTAACTGTTTAGTTTATTTTACTCCATTTTACATTAAAATAAAAAATAGGGCTTCAGCACAATTTTAAGCTTCACCAGAAAAAAAAAACTGAAAGTTAAAATGATTGTGATGCTGTGACATTTGTTGGGGTCTGTACCAAACAAACAAATGAAACAAAAGGTTTTCTAATAGATTTGTAGGCCAAATAATCTCTGCAGCACTACAATTTACACTTTATTATCTTTATCAAAAAATTACTGCTTGTTGCAGTTTGGATATTTCACTTGGCCATATTGCAATTTCAATACTATTGCGATTAATAGCGCAGACCTGAATAATAACTAGATTTTGGGAAAATGACAAATGCAAACAGTGGTGTTTACTTATGTACTAAAATAAAATAAAATTATATAGGAAATGTCTTTAGTTGTAGTCTTTGTCAACTGGGTCAAATTCACAACCAGAGGGGGCATTGGTACATATGTTTATTGACACTGGGAAGTTTAAGTGACTGTTAGTCAATGTGTTTGTATTGTAAAACCTATTCTGAACCTATTCTCTCGAATCTTGCCCCACACAAATATGTATGTTATAATAAAAGAAACTAGAACTGACACTGAAACTAATAAAAACTCAACTAAAATCAAATATTTCTGATCAAAAACTCTGCTGAAACAAGCAAACCCATTCAGGAAACTAACTGAAACTAAACTGAATTGAAAACAAAAATAAAAAATAAAATAGGAATAAACCCTAACAGGTACCTGTTTATTATATTTTACTGCTGAGTGAAACAACCTGTTTTTTTTTTTTTTTATAGGTTTCGCTGGCTTTAGTGTGAATACTAGTGTGTGGTTATCATTTTGCAAGCAGAGTACTGAATTTATGTTATGCATTTATTTTCTTGTACATTTTCTTTGAATGTAAAGATGTGACAGGAGACAGATTCAAGTAGGTGAAGTGAATAATGAATAGTGATCAATCGTTGTATCCAGTTTCACTTTACAAAAGGAAATATGCATTGATTTGCACAGTTTATTTCCTACCTTTGAAATAAAAAATGATTCTGTAATTTGATAAAGAAAATATTTTGTAGATTTTTGTCAAAGAAAATTGTGTTAAACTGGGGGGGATTTTAATATAACTCGCCTGTTTAGATTATTTTAGGAATTTTCCTCTGTTTCTCCATTTTCTATTTCTGGCTATTGTCATAACAAATGTAAGTGGAGGCCACCGCCTGTCGTCGTCAGTCCAACTAACCCATGCTGCTGTCACTCTCAGCAGTCACAGAGTCACTATGACTTGCCGCTGCTAGATGGCAGAACACACAAACTGATTGCCAGATTGATGTATAGGGTGACGTGACAGTCCAATTTATTCTATGTATGCATGAAGCTTACATTACAACACTAGGCCATGTAAAACTATGGCATTTACTCCACGTCATTGTATGAGAGCCAATCTACTGTATACAGCTATATGTGTTCTGTAAAATGTGAGATTCGTTCAAGCCACGTCCATGCAGCATAGTTCAATCAAATCATTGCAGCTAGGTTTATGTGTGTTTTTAGTGCTTCAAAGCAGCATTTTTCCAGCTCAAGATAAATCATTTATTTGCAATGGATTCTCAAACCATTAAAAAATCCTGGGTGCTGACCAGTTCCTTTAACCGAGCTACCACTCTTAATTGTGCTTCTAAACTGAGCTCAGTAAGCACCTCAAACACTTGAATGAATCTGAGTTAATTAAGGATGTTTTATGCAAAACTTGGCACCTCACCATTTTGCGCTGTTAGGCGACCTTGCCAAACTTTGTGATGCTTCCAAAGTAAAGACTGACTCCATGAAGTGTTGTGATTTTGATTAACTGATATTTTTGCTGTCCCATTGGTTGCTTTTGTGGAAAATTGAAAGTACGGTAACACTTCTGATAAGAGATAATTTGCACACATGGTAGGTTCCCTCTCACACTTCAGAAGCACGGATAATTACAGGAAGTGTGTCTTCTGCCAGTCCTCTGCACTTTGTCGATACTTGAATTTCAGATTGATAAAAACTGTTGAGCCGACTGCTTGGACTGGTAGAGGATTACATCATATGCAGCAGAGCTGAATGCTGGCCCAAGCTTTTCCTCTCACAGGCTTTGTCTCCTTTCTCTTACTACCTACTGCAATACAATTATTCCTCTGTGCCATTTCTGCCTTATTTCCATTTCTAGTCATTATCTTTCATTTCTAACCCTCTTCATTTTTATTTCCTAAAATTATTTCCCACTCCATCCTCCCTGGTATTCATCCCCATACTCCAGTTCTCTGCTTTTATGAAAAAGAAAATTGCAAAACCAGAAAGATCTGTAGTAGAAGAGACAGTGAACACATCACACTACGTAACATCTGTCTATGTATGTGATGTCACAGAAGGTGTTGCAGTTTTTCTTGCATCCAGGAGGGTTTCCTGTGCTGCCTGCCCATACCTCTTTAACCTAAATGTCCCCCGGTCGAGCTCCCTTAACCGGTCCCATTTAGAGCCTCAAACCTGCACACACACACACACACACACACACACACACACACACAGATGTACAAGCCTGCTCACGTGTCTGCATGCATGCGCAACCTCCCACTCCCCATGCATGTCCACGTCCCCGGCACTAAACTAAAAGGGGAATTCTTATTGACAAATGTAAATCAGCATCATCCTGTGACGTGATTTAAATCTCACAGTACCGGCGTTGCTGCATGCACAAACGCTTCCTGTGCGTCTGTTTGACCGTCACTGACCTGGTTCCTTAGCTTGCCTTTGGTTTCCAGGAAGTCCTCGACTCTCTCCTCCGCATCACACAGTGTTCACCAGCAGCAGCCAAACATCCCCATGTGTCGTGATGATGCAGTGAGAGCTGCCATGATGCCTGCTTTCTCTCTCTCTCTCTCTCTCTCTCCCTCTTACTCTGTCTCTCTCTCCCTTTCCAGCAGCCTCGGGCAGTATTGTGCAGCACTGAACACCTCTGCCTCTGTCACTATCTTATGCGTTCTCCCTCTGCACCCTCATCCTATGCTCATCCTACTGTCAACTCTCTCACTGTCAGATTCTCTCCTGCTCTGCACCCCCCTTCCTTTCTCCCTCTCTCTCCCCCCCTTCTCTCTCTCTCTCTCTCTCCTCACAAAGACTTGTTAGCTCGACGCTGCTGCCGGCTGGAGCGCTGGAGCTTGACTGAGGTGAAGCAAGCCCTTTGAGATCACAGAGAAAGGGGGGGGTGTAGTAGATGTGGTGGTGGATGTGATGGGGTGGGGGTGGAAAGTGTAGTCTGCTGTGTGAAATACCTCTTTTCCACAGTCATTAGGAGAATTATTGACACAAATATATAAGCAACATTTCCTGTTATTACTACAAAGATAAATAAGTGGAACAAGTGAGTTTCTCCACCCTTTCACACTCAGTGTTTTCCACTTCTCTACAGTATTTTATTTCTCACATTTATTACTTTGCAGGGTATTTATAATGCAAATGTAAAGTTCCTTTTGTTTCCATAAAGCTTTTGAAATTTAAATCGATAGCGGAGACAAATGGATCAGAGGAAACAAGAGGAAACCGAGACAGCGGCTGGGAAATCATCATTATTTTTACTGTGCTTTTATGCAGAAAAATATTCTGAACGCAATCACTGGGGTTGGGTCATTGACCACGGGCGGATCTTGAGTATTCATGAGGTGGCAAGAGGGTGACATGGACACATTAAGGGATGGCAGAAATATATGCTAATTTAATTGCATTTACATGTATAGATATTTGTGTAGAAGAGCCTCCAAACAACCATTATATGGCACGAGTAAAGCATTGATAAGAAATATCTAAAATTGTTATTTTTTTCTCAAAATCTTTCAGACATCTTCACAAATGCATGTTTTTTCTCAATTAATTTAAGCCTCGCTTGGTCTAAATGTGGCAATAACAGATTATTAGATTCTATGTGCTCAGCAGTCAGCTATCTTTCTCCAGAATAACTGACCCCACCTTAAAAAAAAGGCCTATAACGGAACAGATGGAGAGGTTGTAATGCATTCGTTTTATGCTTTTTACGCTAATCATATTACAAAAAACATAGAGGCCACATAATAAATAAAAAATGCTTCACTATCTACCAACAAAATGTGTTCTTTCAGATTTGTCCCTTTTGTTTACTATACTATGGGATAAGGGGATATCAACATCTAGTCCTACACAACAGATCAGGCCTATACTAAAATATTCACATATCACACATCAAGATAATAATTTAATTTACAATTTAATAATCATTAAACAGTAGAATTAAAAGTAGCTTAACCTCACCAAGTCACATTAATTCCACAAGAGTCAAAAGCTGAGATGGCAGTTGCTGCTACGTTTAAAACTTGGGCTGTGTGGACTGGTTATAATGGGACAGAGAGGCTGAGCAGACTGGTTATAGTGGGACAGAGAGGCTGTATGGACTGGTTATGATGGGATAGAGGCTGTGTGGACTGGTTATAATGGGATAGAGAGGCTGTGTGGACTGGTTATAATGGGATAGAGGCTGAGTGGACTGGTTATAATGGGACAGAGAGGCTGAGTGGACTGGTTATAATGGGATAGAGGCTGTGTGGACTGGTTATAATGGGACAGAGGCTGAGTGAACTGGTTATAATGGGACAGAGAGGCTGAGTTGAGGCTTTGAGAATGAACGAACGGAGAAGTTGAACCTAGAGCAGATTGTGGAGGACGTTTGTGGTGCACAAAGCTCACAGTGTGTTCCTCAGACAGGTGAGTACAACAACACACTCGCTGATAATTGTAACTCTGTACAGAGTCAGCGTTGCTAGGCAACATAATGTCGTGTACAAGTGTGCACTTAAAGTGTGCAGCTCTTTTCTTTAACGTGTGTGTGAGTGAGTTTATAGTGTTTATACATATGTGTGTTGTTTGCATTGCAACAACCAACAACAGCAAAGTGCAGATTATTAAATTTTTGTAGCTTCATAATGCTTGTTGCTCTGGCAGTGGTGTCCATAGCTCTTTTTATTTATTGTTGTTTAGTAGTCTGAGTTTTCTCCTGTTTTCTGGTTAATTAAAGTGACACTACACAGAGGAAGGTGGTTGTATATTTATATTTGATAAACAGTTGTATGTACAGCCTGCAAAGTGCTGTCTATAGAAAATGAAATTGTATTGGACATACACTAAAGGCTCTGTGGTGTGTCTTGTATACACTGACATGTGTAGGCACTTTTCTGTAGCCTTAATGTGTCCTTTAAGTTATGACACAATCATGTTACCAGCTGTCATAATCAGCACAATACACAGTTACAGTAACATAGACACTGCAGTTGTTTCCATACCACAGTGGGTGAAATGAAATTTAACTCTGTTGTCAACTTAAACCTCTCAGTCAACAGTTTTCAGGCAGAATGAGATGTGCAATTCACTAAAATTAGAAAAAGCTGTTTCTGTTGCCCATAGATGATGACTCACTGCCTCGCTTTATATGTACAGCTCAAAGCTGCACGCATGCAGTTTCCAGGTGTTTTGTCATGGACACTGTGTTCAACAGAGATTTCATTACAATATTTTGCGTGTCCTTTTAACGATAGCAGGATGAACTAAAAGTCATGAACCCTAACAGATTTTCAAACCAAATGAAATTGTTCTGGACTATTTGTAGTTCAGTTCTGTTTTTCAATGAAGTGAACCTCAACAGAACATTCATCAGACTGTGTAGTAGCTATATCTTCTTAAACCTCAAATTAGACTTGGATGAAGTAGATTCAGGGCCAGTATTTTAGAAATACAGTATAGTATAGTTATACTATACAGTCTAGTCTATATAGTCTACATACTATGGTGATATTCATGTTTCTAATTCTAATTAGTTTGGTTCACGACTAATAAAAACTAATGACAATGACTCATCAGCTTCAGCTGTGCTTTGTATTTAGTGCTGATTAGTCAATGTTAGCATGCTAACACACTAAACTAAGACAGTGAACATTGTAAACGCTAAACCTGCTTAAATTTGGTCTAAAAGTTGAAACAGTCTTAATCATATGTAATTAATCCAACATGTGTAATGAGTTAATTTACATGACCTCAATGTCCGTGCTGTAGCTAGAGCTCTGAGTAGATTTATACCAAAATAAATAACAATTTGGCCTCTGTCACAGCAGACCTTTTGTCTTTCATAGAAGGAAAAGTGTAATTAATAAAATAAACAATAGATCTGTTCAACTCAAGTGTCCCAGTAAACTGTTACAGTGTGACAGTGAGCCAGAACGAACAACACCAGGACCTTGAAACTGCAGCAGCTAAATGAAAAACAGCCATCATTCATTTTATATTTTACACCGGTGCTTTTCCCCACTTTGACATGTCCAATTAAACCTTCTTGTTACCTTAAAGTATATCGTATTCTATATATACCATATAGTGTTTTTAAAGTGCAATATCAATATAAACAACATTTCTTTCAGAAATGTGTGATTAACCACCCAACCCCCACTGACGAGGCCCTAAACATTGTTGCTATAGCAATGCTAGACCCTGAATGTTCTATCTTCCCATTATAGTAGTGCTTCGTTGAAAAATATCAAGATAAAGCTACCAAGAGCCTTGGCCTTGAGTTTCTATGTACTGTACAGAGAGAGAGAGAGAGAGAGAGAGAGAGAGAGAGAGAGAGAGAGAGAGTCAAAGTGATTCGGCTTCATCTGTCAGACATTTTATTTAATTTTTTTATTTTTGCTGTGCAGCACAGAGGAAGTGGGAAACAATATGGGCTCAAAAAAAGAACAGTTTTACAGCTTTGTGACCTAAAAATGTTACTTCTAATTGGTTTATTTATGGTAGATACTCATGAAAATATTCATATTCAACTTAGTTCTTATGTTGTGATAACAGTTTGTGAAAGAAGCCAAAATATAATTGTTTGAATACGAATATCTGCCACATCTCTCTGCAGTGAGGAGCTTCAGTTATTAGTTTAAAGGGTAATTAAAAAGTACTGAAGCTTGTGTTCTGTCAGGGTGCTGTTTGGATGGATGTTGGATGAAAGTATCGGTGCGTGGAGAGTAACACACATCATAACAGCAATACATTTTATGGTGTTTTAGAAGTCAGTACTGTTTAAAATTAAATATTTACGGAGTGAAACAAGAAGTTGCTGCATTATTTTAAACAAATTAACACCATTTAAACTGAATGTTTTTTATTATTATTGTCAATAACTAATGACTGACCTCCACTTGCCGTTCGAGAATTATGGGGGTTTTTTGTGCTGTGCTCTGAATCGCCTTGTTTTCTCCTGGCAAAGATGGAGTGGCAATGTGCTGGAGAGACGGAGTGATCCTTCCAATCAGCTTCCATGGCAACGGGCCACGAGAGGGAGGGAGGGAGGGAGGTGGGGAGGAGGGGGAGAGTTGGAGTCGGAGGAGGAGGCAGCTAGAGGGGTTGAGGGGAGGTGGGGGCTGGGATGTGGCAGCTCCTAACGCTGAAGCATGAGGGGAAAACTGGAAGAGGTCTGCTTTTTCACAGCAAGAGAAAGAACACAGTGTGTGTGTGTGTGCTCGGATATTTGAACAATGGGTACGGTGAAGGAAAATTAGACATTAGAATAACTGTCTATCAGGCATTTGATTATATTTTGACCATGGACACACCAAATGTCTTCATTATTGTGAGATGGAAAACATGAAGTATAAATAACAGCCTAATGGCGGGTCTCTCCTATCCACATATAATAGTTGTTCTCTCCTGTATACGTCCTTTCAAAGTCTGTGCTGATGTGCCTCTTAAGGTCACTAGAGGACACTGCATATCATCTGTACATGTGAATGCAGTTAGGGCTTTTAAGACTGTACACACACAGTATCCTGTAATAAATAATGAACAAAGCATACTAAGATCCATTCCCATTGTTGTTATTGTGTTTCATGTCTACAGGAAAAAGACCTAGATAGTACCAAACAAAGTAATCACTGTAATTATCTTGTATTATTCCCTTCAAGAGACCTGCAGTGTGTCATTTGTAGTGACTAAATGAATTTACAGTGACCTTACTGAACCATCTGCTGCAATGACGACAGCTTTCCTACAATATTACAACATTAGTGAGTTTGTAGTGACATTATTTAGGGGTATTTCTAATGCCAACAGTGGTGGAAGAGGTACAGATCCTAAAAAAGTAAAA